TGGTGGTCTGCGTATGTGTATCGACTACCGCGCCTTCAATCGGGTTACCATCAAGTTTCGCTACCCCATTCCACGTGCCGACGACCTCATCGACCAACTTCGCGGGGCTTGCTTATTCTCGAAGATTGACCTGCGCGGCGGTTACCACCAAATTCACGTGCATGAAGCTGACTACTACAAGACGGCTTTTCGGACCTGGTACGGGAGTTACGAGTACCCGGTCATGCCCTTCGGCTTAACAAACGTGCCTTTGACATTCCAGTTGACCATGAACGAAATTTTTCGACCATTGCTAGATAAGTGTGTCATCTTGTACCTCAACGACATTCTCGTCTACAGCACAACCCGGGAGCAGAATTTAAAGGATTTGGAAGCTCTTTTCTCTCTCTTGCAGTAGAACCGACTAATCACCAAGGGCTCCAGGTGCAAGTTTCTCAAACACGAACTAGAGTTTTTGGGTCTCGTGATTTCCATTGACGGTGTTACAATCGACCCCAAGAAAATCGCGACAATCCAATACTGGAAGCCGCTGGCTAATCTACGCAAACTTCAGAGTTTTCTGGGGTTTGTTAATTACGTCCGCCATTTCATTCCGAACATGGCAGGTGTAACTTCCCCTCTCACGGATCTCCTGAAGAAGGGCACGTTTTTTTAGTGGGGGGGAGAGCAGCAGGCTGTGTTTGAAAAGCTCAAACTTTTCCTTACGACCCCTCCGGTTCTTCGGATTGCAGATCCTCACCGTCCATTCGCACTCATCACCAACGCTAGCGATCTGGCCATCGGCGCAGTCTTGTTACAAGACTTCGGCGAAGGCCTACAACCGATCGCCTACGAGTCACGAAAGCTGAACCCAGCCGAGCGAAATTATCCTACACTCGCCATCGTTCACGCTTTAAAAGCCTGGTGCTGCTACCTGATGGGCGCTTACGTAACAGTCCAAACAGACCACAAGTCGCTACATTTCATCCGCGCCCAACCGATACTGAATCCCCAACAGGTTCGCTGGCTCGACTACTTCGAGTCCAATTTCAACTACAGAGTCACCTACAAATGAGGGGTCAGCAACATCGCAAACGCGCTGACCCGCCCCTTGGTCCACACCGTCACCGTCCTTATTACCCAAGCTAATCCGCTGCTAACTGGCCTATTCACCCACGGATACAGTACTGACCCATTCTTCACCACTAATAGTCATCCCCAACTGACGGTCAAGCAAGGGGCCTATTACCTAAAATCCGGTACCAATCGGATTTGGATTCCCGCCTACCGTACCCTACGGGAAGTACTGATCCAAGAGGCACATGACTCGAATTTCTCAGGTCACTACGGCATCGACAAAACTGCGAAATTAATGAGCCGTAATTATTACTGGCCCGACCTACCGACAGACGTGCAATAGTATGCCACCTCCTGCGCCACGTGTCAATGCATGAAGATGGCTTCGACCTACTGGATTGCTGCAGCCGCTCGAGCCACCCAGCCGACCCTTGCAACAAGCGACGATGGACTTCGTCACTAGCCTGCAAGCAAGTCCAAGCGGCAATGACGCGATCCTCGTCGTCGTTGACCTGTTGATCAAAATGGCCCATTTCGCCGCCTGCAAGACGACAATTACTGCCGAACAGGGAGCGAAACTGTTCCTCACGGATATCGTGCGGCTACATGGCATCCCCTTGGCAATCATCAGCGATCGTGACCCACGGTTCATGTCCAACTTCTGGACAAAAGCTTGGCAGCAGTACGGCACACGTTTGCATCTGTCCACAACGTACCACCCGCAATCAGACGGTCAGACTGAGCACACCAATTAGACAATGTAGCAGCTGATTCGCACGACATGCACAGACCCGGCCCAATGGGAAGACGCCCTTCCTTTGATCGAGTTTGCGTACAACAATGCCCCATCGGCCACGACTACTCAGTCCCCGTTCTTCCTTAATCACGGGATAGTTCCGACAACCCCTCTATTGCCACCGATAGAAAATCCGGCACCAAGGTCTCAGCTGTTCATCGAAACATCCGACAGTCTCAGCAAAAAGTCGCCGATGCCATCCTAAAAGCAAACCATCCTAAAAGCCAACCAGCAGCAAGTTGACTGACGACGCCGAGAATTAACACTTGTCCCTGGGTAATTGGTCCTGCTAGACACCAAGAATTTGGGAATCCCCCTCCCAAATAAGTTACGACCAAGATTTTGCGGACCCTTCCGCAAGGCACACCTACGCAAGGCAATACGGCTTAAGCGGAACCAATCACACTAGAGTCATCGACATACAGCACATACAACACAGAACTAATCTCATCCATGTCCATATCAAAGATCCGAACACCCCGACGGAGCAAGCTGAGCCAGTCGGGGAGGTCGGGTGACGGGCCGAAGCGAAGACGAAACAGGTCGTCCAGGCGACTGCAACAGCGGATGGGGGTGTGACTGATCTTACCGCACACTAGGCCACGGCGAGGACCAGTCTGGAGCTGGTACTGGCAGCGCCCGTCGCCCGAACCACCACCCGACGTCACGCCGCGCGCACAACCGCCGCTACCGCCGCCACCACCAGCGCCAGGCCACCCAGGCGGGAGACGACCAACCCGCCACTGCTGCTGCTGCTCCGACGGCTGCTAATCCAGTGGTGGAACCTGCTGCTGCTGCTGCTGAGACTGCTGCTCGGCGCTGCCAGGCCCAGCGCTCACGTCGGCACCCTCAGTAGGCAACCCGGCCCCACCACCTCCTCCACCCTCGCCTCCCCCACTACCACCGCCGCGCCCAGCCTTGGGGCAGCGGCCCTTTCTCGGACGAAACTGCGCTGCAGCGGCTGTCTCAGCCACAGCAGCAGAGCCGTCAGAGAAAGTGCACTGAGCGAGCGTGCAGCCTTCAAAGATAGGGACCGGCACAGTACCGCTGGACTGGGCGATAGAGCGCTGGCGGGTCTCTATGGCAGACATGGTGTCGACAAAGTCAGTGAGGGTGAGGTTTGCGGGGTGTAGACTAAGAAAACGATCGCGGGTAGTAGCAAGGCGGTCAGGGAGGAGGGTGGCAAGCAGGTAGAGGGTAGCGCAGAGGGGGGGCTGGAACACGCGGAGCTGGGCCTTAGTGCAGGCAGATCGCCAAGTTGAGTCTAGCGTGCACAAGTGGGCGGCTAGGTCAGCGACAGTGGGGAAAGACGCAAGATCAGGAAAAAGCAGGGGCAGGATCAGGCGACCGACGGAGGCAGAGGACGTGGTGGCATAGCGCGAAGGAACAGCCTCTAGGAACTCCTGCGCGGTCCTGACCGACCTAAAGCGAGGACACTCAGACAGGGGAAGGGCATGACTGATGGCGAGCTGTGCGACAGCGTCACACGACAACCAGACTGCACGGGCAAGGGCAGCAGCGGCAGCGGACTCACGATCAGCAGACGTGGGGTCAGCGGGCAGCTCAGCAGGGGGGTCAGGGAAGGGGAGCGTACCATCGATGTGGACAGCCAAGGAGTGGCCGTCCTGCCACTGGCCAGTGAGCTGACGGCTGAGGTCGACGAGCCACGTGTCGAACTCGATCGGCTGACCCTCCGCGTCAAAGCGTAGCACAGAGTCCGCCATCAGGGGCGATGCAGCAGCGGTGCAGTGCAGGACAGCGCAGTGCGTGGCGGTGCGGTGCAGTGCGGTACAGTGGGGTGCAGTGCGGTACAGTGCGGTGCAGAGCGGTGCAGTGCGGTACTATGCGGTACTATGTGGCGCAGGGCGGTGCTGCGCGATGGAGTGCGGTGCAGCGCAGTGCAGGGGCCGGCTGCACGTCAAGGGCTGCTGGGTGACGGGGCCGAACGTGCAGAACGGGCCGGCGCGGGCCGGCCACGGGACGAGCGCGGACCGGCGACAGGACGGGCGCGGGGGCCAGCTACGAGGCAGGCGCTGGGCCGGCTACGAGATGGGCGCAGGCCGGCCACGGGACGGGCGCGGGCCGGCGACGGGACAGGCGCGGGGGCCGGCTACGGGGCGGGCGCGGGACGGCTACGGGACAGGCGCGGGCCGGTGATGGGACGGGCGCGGGCCAGCTACCGGTCGGGCGCAGGGCCAGCTACGGGACGGGCACAGGGCCGGCTACGGGGCGTGCGCAGGGCCGGCTACGGGACGGGCACGGGGCCGGCTACGGGGCGTGCGCAGGGCCGGCTATGGGACGGGCGAGGGGCCGGTTACGTAACGAGCGCGGGGGCCGGCTACGGGGCGGGCGCGAACCGGTTACGGGACGGGCGCGGGCCGGCTACGAGACGGGCGCGAGGGCCGGCTACGGGGCGGGCGCGGGGCTGGCTACGGGACGGGCACGGGCAGCTACGGGACGGGCGCGGGGGCCGGCTACGGGGCTGGCGCGGGCCGGCGGCAGACTAGGGGCGGGCCGGCTAGGAGAACGGGCCGGCTAGGAGAACAGGCGGCTAAGGGGGAACGTGCGGTTAGGACCTAGGGCGGAAGCGCTGGTGGGCGAACGGGACCTAACCTACTCATGATACCATGTTAGAATGATAGAATGACTAGAATGAGAGAGTACAAGGGAATATAAGCTAGTGTGCTGCACCCTCTAAGGCACAAACCTATACAGTCTACAACATACTAAGTTATGTTTTAACAGGGTGGTGTAAGGAAATTCCCTTTTCCTTACTGGGCTCGACTACAGTGCATATGCCCTCGACTCTCGGAAGTCCAGGCAAGGCCAACTTCTTAGGTCCCAAACCACATCGCGAACCCAAACCTAGACGCGCAGCGCTTCCGCAGCTTTCGCCAACCGGACCGCCCCAACCTGTTCGCGTGGTTCTCGGCTAGCTCTGTTCGTGCCTATAAATGCCTAGGCCCTCATTTGTATCGACACTCTTGAATCATGACTCCTTTATTACACTACCTGTTACTAATCTGATTAATTCATAACAGGCAACATTCTCCTGTTACCAGTTACATTTCCGTGGCTTCACGCTCACGATTTCGGGATTTTCGAGAGGCAGCTCTGCCTGATCCAGGATTCTTCCATGACATTCAACGACTATCCATGGCGGACCGTCCTCCTGAGGTGCACTTTCATAACATTCGCACAGGGAAACACAGTATGAACTCTCTGTTGCCTGAACTCTCACAGCACGAAGCAGGCAGCTCGTCCGCACCAGGAACTCCATCATATTCCGCGTTACACGCTGGTAGTACCGACGCGGCGACCCCGTCGCCCCATGATGGAAGGAGAGTGTCGTCGTCTGGCTCCCGGCACAGAGCGGGAAAACGGCATTCGCTGCTTCTAGCACGCACTGCTCATGCGTCCTCTCCCGCCCGTTCCCCCGCATCTACTACTACTAGTGCTACTGCCAGCGCTAGTAACGCCATGGGTTCTCGTGGTGGCCGATCAGGCTCCGCCGGACGTCAAATCTCGACCGTCCGATCGGGCACGTCGTCCTCTCGGCTGAACCACGGGAAAAGAAGCGTATCGCGTGGTTCTAGCAATCTTTCACTAGTAGCATCGTCCTCCACTTCTGGTTTCACACCCGTGACAGATGCTGAGTTATCGTCCACCGTGGCCGTCGTAGCCTCTGCAAATGCGGCGTCCGAGTCAGACGAGAATCCCGGTGAAGGATCCGAAGCCTCAGCTGCGAAGGCTCCGGAGTTACTACTACTACCTCTCACCGATGCTGACAATGTCTTGAATGTTGATGGGAAATCCCAACATAGTAGCTCCGCAACAGCAACAGCAACAGCAGCAGCAAAAGCAACAGCAAAAACAACTGCTGATGGGGAAGGAATCTGGGAGAGAAGCGTCGAGGGTGGGGAGAGGGAGGCTGCCGTTACGCTGAGCGTCGGATCCAGAGACTTCAGTCCGGTACTTTCGAGCTATCTCCCGTCCTCTCCAACGGTAATGAACCATGATGATAGTGGCGCCGCCGGTCAGGGTGCTGTCACTGCGGATGCTTCTTCTGTGGATTCTCGCACAAAGGGTGCAGTGGATGGCAGATCGGAGGGCTCGCCTTGTGCCCTGCTCACGGGTGTTTGCAGAGAGATGGGGGATGATCTTGGCCGCAGGATGGGGGTGCATGCAGCACAGACTGGGAAGGGGGGAAGTGGCATGGTGGCGGATTTCGCTGAGGATGATGATGTGATGGAGGATATACACGGTACTACCAGCAGCAGCGCCGGCCAGTCTTTCCAGGTCGCCTTTGGTTCGCCACTGCTGCCACCTGCACGTGTCTCCCCTGCGAGACCACCCCTGGCGTCGTCTCTCTCGGCGCCTCCATGCACCCTTGCCTTATATGGAGGACGGAGTGTAGCGTCCGGGCCGAGTGATGTTGGAAGCTCCGTTCATAAGGCTGCCTCGTTACAAGCACCTTCTGGCTCGTTGCATGCACCTCCGTTATCGAGCCGTAGCCTACCAGCTGGTGCTGTTATTGACATGGAGGGGAGCGCAGGAGGGGAGGAGGGAGGAGCGGAGAAGATATTTGTGGCAGTGCGAGTGAGGCCGCTGAGTGCGAAGGAAGTGGCTGCAGGGGAGGAGAGTGTGTGGCAGGTGCTTGATGGCTGCTGGGTCAGATCCATGCTCCCTTCCTCTGCTGCCGTTTCACTGCAAGGAGACCGTTCAATGCCAGCTCAGACTTACCACTTCGGTAATGCCCCTTGCTACCTACGCCTGTTATTTTTTCCAAAGCATACGCTTCTCCCAAAGGAACTGGGGTTTACTGCTACGCTTCGCCAACTTTTTGGCCTTCTATCGCATGCTCACTGCAAGCACACCAGTCTCCGTTCCCACAGGCATCTGTTGTCGTTTTCTGCTGCCGTTCGAGTCGACACAGTCAGCTCTGCTGCTGTGACTTACGATTCTAATACACGATTCCACCCCCATCCCCTTCTTACCTTATCCTTTCACCCCGTCCCTGCTCTGTCGATACGCCCCCCTGCTGCGTCCTCTGTTCCTGCAGACAGAGTGTTTGACGAGCAGGCGACCTCACTCGCCGTGTACCAGCACGCAGCCAGACACGTGGTGCTCTCAGTGCTGCAAGGAGTCAACGGTTCGTCCCCCCAGCCTTGCCATCCCAACCCGCTTCCTCGGTTTTGCTTTCTGCTCACAGAGCTATCTCCCATGATTTGAAATCTCCTCATCGAAGCATATTGCCTGGACTGCAAACCTGTGACATCCTTACTCCGCCGGTTTCTGTGACGTCTACGTGCCGTTCGCTTCACGCCCTCCGTTCTCCCTTTGTGGTTGGTAACCCTGCCGTGGCCCTTCTGCCTCACCAGGCACCATCTTTGCGTATGGCATGACGGGGAGTGGCAAGACGTTCACCATGGCTGCAGTAACGGAGATGGCTATACAGGAGATATTCGAGCACATAGCCAAGGTAAGGCTGGGAAATTGTGGTAGTTTAGAAGGACACGGACCTGCTACACTTGCTCAAATTAGAGGGTGTACTCGATAAAAAAAAAGGGGGTGGTAAACTCGAATAGTGTTATTTTGCGATTAATACCTGCTTGTCAATTTTTGGAAGGCTGGATGCATGACTTTCACCTTCCATCACCCCTTCATCCACGGCTCTCTTGTGCTCCCTCGAGGTCTTGATCAGAATGCTTGTCATTTTGCCATACAGATACTCCCTGGGTGTTTTTGCTACCAACGCAGCTAACTACCAACCAGCCATGTTGTGCATGTCTCGCGTGAGGGAGCATTCCGCCGTTTCTCGCAGCGTCCATTCCAAATCCCCCCCCCCCCCCAACGCCGCCCGCCGCACCCCAGCCTTCCGTCCTCTTCCCCTCTCCCCTCATAACAACCCCCACCCCCGTCCCCCCTTTTTCCAGCACGGTGGTGAGGGCAAGTACTCGTTGCAAATGGCAGCAATGGAGATCTACAACGAGCAGGTCAGGGAGGTGCTGCGCGCCGCAGGGAGATACTCCTTTCTCGTTCCTGCAGCTCCCGCAATCGCCGTGTCCTCCCCAATAACCCCCCACCTGCCCCCCACAGCATGGCGGCGAGCGCGAGTACTTGTTGCAGATGGCGGCGATGGAGATCTACAACGAGCAGGTCAGGGACCTGCTGGGGACGGCGGGGGAGAGCGCACCACTCAGACTGCTGGATGGCGCAGAGGTGAGGAGGGGGGGGGAAGAGAACGAGGAGGAGGTGAGCGGGCGAGGTGGTGAAGAGGAGTGAGGGGAGGAGATGGATGGGATAGCGGGGAGCAAGGGGAGCAGGGAAAAGGGCGTGGAAGGGCGGGTATGCTGCTGTATGTGTGTGGAACCAGTGTCTGCTCGCGCTAGCACGCGTTTATGGTGTCTCGCTCTACGTCTCTCGTCTGTCTGTTGTGCATGCATGTTTGCCTGGACTGCTGCATGTGCTGTCCTGGGATGGGTTGGGATTGCGAGTGATGGATGGGGAGTATGCTACCTCACTGCGTGTGTGGCATAATCATGAACCACATGCTGGTACGTCTGTATGCTATGCATGGTGCGTGCATACATGCATGGTGCGTGCATGCATGGTGCGTGCATGCATGGTGCGTGCATGCATGGTGCGTGCATGCATGGTGGCTGTCTCCCATCGCAGGGCGGCACCTTGGTGGAGAATCTCTCGCGCCATGACGTGCACTCGCCAGCGCACCTGCTGCTGCTGCTGGAGCAGTGCACATGTGAGTGTGAGAGGTGTGAGTGTAAGATAAGAGAGTGTAAAAGGTGTGCATATGTGATGGCTGCATTTGAGAGGTGTGCATATGAGAGATGCGTATATGAGAGGTGCTCGAGCCACTGGCGTGAGCCCTTCCTTCGTCATTGCTTTCACAGATTATGAGTGAACCTGTCAAAGTTGGTTGCCATGTCGAGGAAAGCGTCTACAGTTTCGATTTATCCTCTAGAGCCTCGAGAACGATACCCTGCACTGCACCCATACTAGATTTGGCTTGGACTTGTAGCCCATGGCTCTTACCCCGCTCTCCCTCGTCTCCATCTCCTTCCCTCGTAGACACCCCGCACCTCACGCTCCCCCCCCTCTTTCCCCCATGGCAGCTCAGCGCACCGTGGGGGAGACGCAGATGAATGAGGCCAGCTCCCGATCACACCTTATCGTGCAGCTGGTGAGGCTGGGGAGAGGTGCGAGGGGGAACGGAGGGGGAGAGGGGGTGTGTGGAGACATGGGGAATGTGGAGAGAAAGAGAGAGAGGCCAGGGCAGGGGCGGGAAGGGAGTTGATCAACGGGGTGCTGTGGCGGTGGTGGTGGGCTTGATTTGAGATTCTGGACGATTTGGGCTTCTGGAGCACACGTGGTCAATGAGGGGTGGGAGACAAAGGAGGGAAGAGAGGGGGGACAAGGTAGAGAGGGGGGACAAGGTAGAGAGGGGTGGCGGTAAAATGCGTGGGGAAGGCCAGAGGGGTAGTGAAAAGTGCCAGGGGGGGGGGAAGAAGCGAGGCGGGGAAGGGGGCATCACGAGCAGTAAGGACGCTGAGCACGCGGCGCAACAGAACGCTCGTACTTTCAGAGGCACGCAACACAATGCACGCTTGTAGGAAGATGCACATGTGAATGCACGTGCATGGGTGTTTGAACGTGCAGTCATGCAAGCAGTGAGATTCATCAGCTGTTGTGTTCTGCTTGTGTACTGTCCTGTCGGCTGCAGTACTGTAAGCATGCAGGCAGGCAGGCCGGCAGGTCAGCAGGTCGGCAGGCAACAGTACCAAAGTTGCCCCACTGCTGTTGAGAGATCCCCAACGTCTGCTATTCCTGCCACGCCTCTCATCCTCTCCTATCTCTGTCCACTGTCCCACTCACTGCGATTCCCGTGTGCCTCAGACGGTGCAGAGTGCGCCCACTGCACCATCCACCCTGGCGCTTTCTACCTGCTCGCTCTCCTCTCACCCCGCACCTGCTTCCGTTGCGTCCACTGATGCTGCGTTCGCTCACCCCACCGCGCCACGACCCAATGAAGCAGACGATGCTGCCACCACAACCACTGTCTCCTCCTCCGTTACCTCCTCCATTTCCGCCTCGTCCGTGCTCTCCTCCTCATCCCTCTCCGCCTCTTCCTCCTCAGGGCCTCTCGCCTTGTCCACACCGCCTACCCTCTCATCCCTCCCATCACCTATGTTACGTGCCACTCTGGTAATCAATCAATACACACAAGTAATGACCAAGAACCATTCAACCATTCAACCGAACTCTCACCCACCGCTTCTGACATGCGGCATGCTTCTGCCACCTTCTGGCTCAAGCATCCTTGCCTGTCCTATTTCCCCTTCCTTGTGCCCACTCTCCTCTCCTCCTCCCCCCCCCCCGCGCTGCAATGCTCTCAGAACCTGGTGGATCTAGCGGGCAGTGAGAGGGCGGGGCAGATGCAGTCCGAGGGGCAGCGGCTCAGGGAGGGCGCTCACATCAACCGCAGCCTGCTCACCCTCAGCACCGTCATTCACAAGCTCAGGTGGGCACGCAGGAGGTACCACATGCTCAGGTGATTCTTCAGGTGTTCTCTCGGGTGTCACTGAAGGTGCTGCAAGTTTGCGCCTGTTGGTGTCATCAGGCGTTTTTTCGTCCTGGGTGCTTCAGTTGTTGTGTGGTTCTTACGTGCGTGAGGTGAGGTTAGCATCCGCTTGGGGAGGTAGCTACCTATGGTGATGTGCCAGCAGAAGGAAGGTACACTATCCTTCTCTATCTCCTCTTACAAGCTACAGCCCCGGCACAAAGAATATACATATTCTCCTTCACATTATCCCCTGCATCTCTACCCTCCCCTTCTCCTCCTGCCCCATCACCCCGTTACCCACTTCTCCTCCTCCCCCCAGTGCACCAGCCTCCTCCCTCTCCTCCTCCACCGCCACCCTCACCCCGCCCTCCGCCTCCTCCTCCTCGTCCTCGTCCCCCTCGCGCGGCCCGCACATCCCGTACCGGGACTCCAAGCTCACGCGCATTCTGCAGGGCGCGCTGGGGGGCAATGGGCGTACGGCCGTGGTGTGCACGGTGAGCGCGGCTGCCTGCCACGCGGAGCACACGCGCAACACGCTGGCCTTTGCAGCGCGGGCCAAGCAGGTGTCTACCACGGCCAGGGTTAACACGGTCAGTGGAGTGGGTGGTGGGAGGGGTGAGGACGGGAGGGGTGCGGGGTTTGGGCTGACAGGGGGGGGAAGAGGGGGGGAAGGGGGGGGGGAAGGGGGGTGGATGGGAGGTAGGAGAATTGGGAGGTGGGAACGTGTGATGTTGGATGTGAGATTTCCGGTCACGCCTGTGCGTCCCTGGTGAAACCCTCTTTTGCATCCTTGCTGACTGACACAGGCAGTCGAGGGGATCACAACCACTGCATGCACGCAGCACAGCCGACACACATGTGCGCGCACTCACAAGCACATGGGAACATCCGAATGGCCATTTGAACGCTGTGTGTGTGTGTGTGTGCATTGTGAGCAGGTGGAATCGGGTCAAGAGAAGGTGATTCGGCAGCTGCAGCAGCAGGTCCGATTGCTGGAGGGCAAACTGAAGGGCGCGGAGGAGGAGAGGCAAAAGCAGCAGCAGCAGCAGCAGCAGGCGTCTATGGAGGAGGCGGGCAGGAGGCGGAGCAGCAGTGAGGGCGTGTCAGGAGCAGTAGCGAGGCAGCTGATAGTGGAGTATGAGGAGGCCATGGCACTGCTGGAGGCAGAGAAGGAGGAGGTCAGTACAGTACATCACCTGCCTTCACGCACCATTCTGCATTCACATGGCCTCTGTTTCCTCCATAGCCTTTCCCGTTTGACTCGGAATCACCATCTCCCGCCTGTTAGCTGCCCGGGTTAGCTGTCTCATTCCTCTTCCCTTTTCTGCTCTCTTCTTGCAGTTGTTAACGCCTCTCGGTGTCCTTCTCATCTTATATCCTATTCATCCCCTAATGTGTGACCTCCCGTTCTGACCCTTACCACTACTCTCGTCAACAATGTCTCTAGTAGCGCTCGTGTCTGTCTGTGCCCGTTACATCTCTTCACTTGCCCACACCACACCCTTGGCTCCATACCTCCTTCTGATGGGTTGACGGAGAAACAAGCACAGCGAACCATCCCCTTCACGTTGCCTCTTTGTTTTAACGTTTATCCTACCACCCACCCCCCTCACCCGTTTTCCCCTTCTCCCTCCCCTGTTCCCCCACCCTTCCCATTCCCCCTCTTCCCCCGCCCCCAGCTGTATGCGCACCTGTCGCGCACTCTCTCCCAGAGGGACGAGGCTCGATGCTTTGAAAACGCCTCAAACCACCTCATTCCTCCCTCTCCCCACCCCCAAAAACCCCAACTCTCCCTCCCCTGCAGCTGTACGCGCACCTGTCGCGCGCTCTCTCCCAGAGGGACGAGGCCCGGTGCCTGCTGGCGGCGCAGCAGAGGGAGGTGCGGGCGATGAGGGAACACATGGCGTTGCTGCAGTGGCAGCTGGACGAGAGTGAGGGGAGCGAGGGGAGTGAGGTGGAGGGGGAGGATGCGGGGGGTGGTGCGGAGGGAGGGGGGATAGGGGGTGTTGAAGTTAGGCCGAGTGAGGGTCAGGGTGGGGGAGGTGAGAATGAGGAAAGATTGGGAAGTTGGGAAGGGGGTTTTGAGAGGGTTTTGGAAGGAATGCGTGAGGAAGCAGGGAGCATTGTGGAAGGAAGAGTCAGTGAAATAGCAGAGCGTGCAGCAGCAGCAGCAGGTGGTGCAAGCCCTGTGGTTGCACGAAAGGCGTCTCGTGCGAGGGGCAGCAGCGTGAGGAGGAGCAGCAGCAGGCGGAGCTTGGGTCAGTCACGAAGGACGAGCCCTGGCAGTACCGGTACCGGTATCCGCCCTCCTAGTCCCACCCATGCACTGTTCAGATCCAGCTTTGCTTTCAGCGACGCAGATGGGGCCGGGTCGGAACAACAGCAGCAGCAGCAGCGACAGATGGAGGCAGATGGCTATTCCAGCATTCACGCGTCTGGTGGCTTAGACGCAGTGATCCGCGCCAGTGGTGGGCCAGCAGGGGTTCTGGTTGCCGGCATTATGGGCAGCAGCACTGATGCCGATGCTGCTGGCGTTGCTCCCACACGACGGTATGGTGTCTGAGATCGCCAAGCCTTTTTCTTGTGCGCATTAAACGCGGTTCTGCAAGTATGTAGTGAGAAGGGCTTGCCATGGTTTGACGTGTAACGCGCCATGGACCTTGCACTATGCACTCATGGTCCATCCGGCCAAATTATAAGGTCATCATGACACATATCACCCCATGTGCACCCTAGAAACACAGCATTAACCAATCGTCCTCCCCACCATGCTTTCTCATGCCATCGTCTCCAAATCGTCTCCCTTTCGCTCTTTCTAACCCCCTTAAGCCTATCGCCCCATTCCTATCGTCACGGCCCTGTGTGGGCAGCAGCGACTATGCGCGGCGGGCGTGGGTACAGCAGCTGCAGCGGCTGGCAGCAATGGGCGAGAGGATGGGGCAACAGGACGCTCACAGGGCGCTGGTCGCACTGCAGGCTGAGATCCACTCGCTCTGGCTCTCCGCCTCTGCCTCCCTCTCTCCCTCTGCTGCATCTGCTGCCGCTGCTGCTGATCTTGATCCTGCGGCTGCTGGTGGTGCGGCTGCTGATGGTGCGGCTGCTGGTGGTGCGGCTGCTGGTGGTGCTGCTGCTGGTGGTGGTGCTGCTGCTGGTGGTGCTGCTGGTGCTGCTGGTGCTGATTTTCCTACTGAGGCGCCGCTTATTTCTGCTGCTTCTTGTGCTGTGGTGGGTGCGGCACGTGAGAGTGGTTGTGGGTACATGAGCAATGCGAGCAGCAGTAGCCCTCTCTTCAGGCCTGCACTTGTCGCACTGCCCCCACCACCCCTCCTTTTTCTTGGAACGCCCGAAGTAGCAGCAGCCACAGGAGGAGGAGGAGGTGAAGGAGTGGCAGAAGAAGCAGCAGAAGCAGGAGAGGCAGCAGAGGCAGCAACGACAGCCTCAGCATCAGCGGCTGCAGCTGCAGCTAGACCCCGGATCAGTTTGGGGGATTCACAGGGAGGCGAGATGGGTGATCCACTGGAGATTTTCTCTGAACTGCCTTCTGGTGCTGATGCTGCAGATGCGACTACTGTTGCTGCTGCCGCAGCCATTGCCACTGCGACCGCGTCAGACTCCACACGTGATTCAGCGACTGCTTTCCCTGCTTTAGTTTCCTCTGTTGACGATCCTCAGCTCTTGGCGCAGCTGCAGGCGGAGCAGAGGAGGCCGAGTGGGGGATTGGGCAAGGAGCAGGAGGAAGAGCAGGAGGAAGGGGGGGAGAGGGGGGAGGAGGATCCATGTGCGCCTCTCCCTCGGCTGGAGCGGCAGCTGCATCGCATGCACCTGTCCATGCGAAGCATGCTGGCAATCGCTGCTGCCAGCGGCACTGATACTGCTGCTGCTGCTGCTACTCCTGCTGATGCAGATGAAAGATTCAACGGTGATGGTTTGCTGCCTCCTGCTGCTGGTGTGGCGGATGCTGCTGCCTCTGCCAACCCTGCTCGCTCGAGTGCTGCTGCTGGTGCTGCTGATGCTGTGGCGAGTGCTGTTCCTGAGCATGGCAATGATCTGCACAACGGCTCTCTCATCGTGCCTCACGCCATGCCTGACGCCATGCCTGGTGCTGTGGCTAGTGGCATAGCAGACTGTGCCGCTATTGGAACTGATGGGGATGATGAGGGTAGCTCGTCCCCCCTCTGCTCTCGCCCCCCCTCCTCCTTCTCTCCCTGTGCGTCTCTCACTGGTTCTTCCGCCTCTTTCCCCTTCACCATAGCTCCACCTGCCAGATATATTGCCAGGGGGGGTGATAGCGAGAGCAGAGGGAGGGAGATGGAGGGCCGTGGTGGTGGTGCGTTGAGGGGAGACCCTACGGGATGGCAGGGAAGGGGCATGAGGGGGGATGGTGTGCCGTGTGCAGTGGGAGAGGAAGAGGTGAGGGATGTGGAAGGCGAGGTGGGAGAGAGTCGGGTGGGGGGGTGGAAGTGCAGGGTGAATAGCGAGGGGGGTGACGAAGAGGAGCAGGGAGGTGTCGAGGGCAGGACGGGAGATGGGGAGGGGCGCTTGCGAGAGTGGCAAGGGGATGTGGAGCAGAGAGCTGTGGGCGGGGTGGATGGGGTGGAGGGAGAGGAGGAGGATGGGGAGGAGGATGAAGAGGAGGTGGAGGGTGGAGAGGAATTGGTGCAGGAGGAGAAGAGGGTAGATTCACGGCTGGAAGGGAAGGAGAATTGGAGAAGGGAAATGACAGCGACAGCAGCAGCAACAGCAGCAGCAGCAGCAGCAGAAACAGCAGCCGACGCAGGAGCAGAGGAGGAGGAGGAGGATGCGTCAGCGGGGGCAGGGAGCTGCAGCGCGGGCAGCATGCAGGGCGTGCTGAGGGCGACGATGGATCGCAACATGGCGTCCATCCGTGTGTACGTGGGCGAGCTCAAGGAGCGCGTCGCCAAGCTGCACTTCCAGAAACAGCTGCTGCTCTGCCAGGTAAGGGGGGGATGGGCTGCCTGGTGGAGCGCCTAGGCATCCCCCTGAGTGCTTTAAGAAGACCTCTCAGGCAGGATGAAGCTCTGCATCCCCTCCTCCTCTTCCACTTCGTCTCCTTTTCTCTCAGCTCGTGCCCACTACCCCTTCCGTCCTCTCATTTCAACTCACGCCTGTCCCCTGCCCCTATCCCAGGTGCTCGAGCTAGAGGCTGAGAAGGAGCGGTGGCTTGCGCATCAGGACAGGGGAGGGAAGGCAGGGGGCCGGTGGGGGCATGAGAGGCGCAACAGGCAGAGGATGACGTGGCAGGGGGAGAAATGGCGCGGAGTGACAGAGGGGATGGGCGTGGGGGTGGGAGTGTGGGGGGTGCGTGCATTGGCAGGCGTGGCACGTGAGTCTGACGTGGCATTGTGGAGGGTGGGTGGGCTTGAGAAGATTGAGGAGGGGAGGAGTGGGAGGGAGGGGGCGGAGGGAGGGATGGGGAGAGGTGACGAGGGTAAGGAGAGGCTTGGTTACACTACTGCTGCTAAAGCTGCTGCTGAGACTGGTGCGGATGCTGATGCTGATGCTGCTGGTGTTGAAGCTGGAGTTAGGGATAGTGGTGATGATGCTGGCGCGGGTGGGGGTGGCTTTTGGTATATGAACACGGAGGGGCATGGGCTGGGTAGTATTCATGTGGAGGAAGAGGGGGATTCCACGGGTGAAGCGGGGCTGGGGGGGGAGAGGGAGGAAGGCGTTGTGAAGACGCAGATGTTGGCTGCTGCTGAAGGTGCAGAGGGCGGAGAGAAGGGGATAGAGGAGGGTGACAATAGGAAGGAGGAGGAGAGTGCGGATGGGAACAAGGAGGAAAGGCACGTGGCAAGAGGGAGGGGAGGTGTGGGTCGTGGGAGTGATGGGGAGGGAGATGGAGCACAGGGAGGGATGGGATGGAGGTTTGGCAAGCAAGGGCGAGCTTGTGGGGAGGAGCAACAGGCGAATGCACGAACAGTGGCGAGTGGAGAGACATATGTGTTGAATCACGCAAGTAACGCAGCAGCACCAGCAGCAGCAGCAGCAGCAGAAGAGGCAGCAGCGCCAGTCGGGGTAGAGCATTTGCTTGCTGAGATAATCACGATGTGGCATGCATGCCACGTGCCACTGGTGAGGCGCTCTCAGGTCTTGCTGGCCGTCATGGGGAGTGGCATGGGGAGTGCTGTTCTGGTGGGCACCATGGGGGGTGATGTGATGGGGGGCTCGATTGGGGGCAGTGTGATGGGGGGTGGTGTGTTGGATGGTGGTGTGGTGGATGAGCATGTTGGCACCAGGGGTGGAGGAGACATGGGGCATGGTGGCAGCGGTGGGGCGGACGGAGGAAGCGAGGGAGCAGATGGGTCAGGGATGGTTCGTAGGGCAGACGCAGGGGGAGAGGGGGCAACAGAGGGCAAGGATCGAGTGGAGCGAGAGGAGCGAGCAGAGTCAAAGGCGGTTGTGGATGGGAGTGCAGGGGAGGAGGCACGGGGGGGAAGCGGGCGCGGAGGAGCAGGAGTGGGAGTGGGAGTGAGCGGGGCGCATGTGGAGGTGGAGTGGCGGCACATGCGATGGCTGCAGGCGCAGCTGCAGCTGCCCTGCAATACGGGCTGGCTCAGGTATGCCAGGAGAGGGGGGCGAGGGGGAGGGGGAGGGGGAGAGGGGGGGGGGGGTAGAGGGGAAGAAGGGCAGGTACGTGCGTGTTTTGAGAGAGGAGACTAAGCCGGGAAGGAGAAGGAAAGGATGAGGGGAGAAAAAAAGGGAGGAAGTGGGGGGGGAAGGGGGGAGGGGGAGGGGCATGGGGGGAGGACTGAGGCGGAAGCAGTAGGTAGTGGTTGTTGTTTCCATGCCATCGCTCTCAATCCCAGGCAGTCTCAATCTACAACCGTGCAACGCGGTTCGTCTCTCCACTTTTCCATTCGCTCGCACTCGTGACTCTGCTCTTTGTCTCTCTTTCGTCCCCTCCCTTCCCTCCACTCCGTCTCCCTCTCCTCCAGCCATCTGCAGCACCAGGAGCAGCATGAGCGTGCGGCCGTAGCAAGAGCGATCAAGCGCCACCTATCCCCCTCCCACCGCCTCTCTCTCTTCCACCACTGGGGGGTCGACCCCGCCTCTCGCCACCGCTGCTCCCAGCTCGCCCTTGCCATCTGGCCTCCGCCTCCCACTTCCTCACTGTCGGCTCCCCCTCGCCCCTTCTGTACTGTTCCGCTCTCTTCTCTTCCTCCCCCCCCTCCTCTTTCCACCGCACCAGCCTCTGCTGCACCTGCGGCTTTTCCTCCTCCTCCTCCTGCTTCTGCTTCTGCTTCCGCTTCTGCTTCTGCTGCTGCTCCAGCTGCAGCAGTGGCGGAAGCTCATGCTCGCATTCGCATGGCACATGCTAGTGCATGCGTGGTGGCAGCAGCGCTCTCTGCTACTCCCACCGCTTCAGCTGTGCTGCTCTCACTCGCTACTAACACGTCTCTCATGGAACAACGCCTGACTCGTGCTGCCCTTGCTGATTTCGGCTCCTTCTCTCCAGCATCAGACCCCAGTCACGGTAAGCGCAGCAGCAGCAGTAGTGTTAGCCGTGGTGGTGGTGGTGCTGCCGGTGGGTGCAGCAGGTGTCGTTCTAGATGAAGGCGCATCAGCGGTCTCAATGCGAGTGGGCTTGATTCATGTGCCTTGGGCTATTCGTACCAGTGGCAGTCAAGTTGCGCTAGTGGGGAATGCTAGGGTTGACAGGATCCCATGTAAGATGAATTAGGAGCTACAACCTCTAGAGCATCTTTCTCCCCATCTCTTTCTCTTACTTGTAATTTCCCTCCCTCCTCCCCATGTCCCTTCCCCCTCCCAACACCCCCACACTCTCCCACACCCTCACCTGTGCTGTGCCACCCCCTCCCAGTGCCAGCAGAGGCGTTGGACCAGAGGCTGGTGTAGATAGGGGTTCTTTCCATTTCCCCCTTCCTGCTTTCCCATCCCCCCCTTCCCTTTCCCCCCTCCGTCCTGTTCCCCCCTCATGGAGCCAGCAGAGGCGTTGGTTCTGAGGCTGGTACGAGGGGCTTCATTCCACTCCCCCTTCCAGCTTTCTCCAATCTCTCACTCCCTCCCCTCCCTCCCCGCCCCTCCCTCCCCGCCCTCCGTCCTTGCTGCTCCCCCACTCCCAGTGACAGCAGAGGCCTTGGAGCTGAGGCTGATGGAGGGAGGGCAGCAGGGGCACTGGGGGCACTGGGGAGGGGGCACAGCTAAGATGGCGGGCAGGGGAAAGGGCAGGGGGGGAGTGCCGGGACTGCAGGGAGTGGTGGGATGGAGGTGGTGGCTGGGAAAGGGCGTTTCTGTGGGGCCTGACCCTGATATGCTGTGTGAGTCGGCGCGTGGAGCCAGGGCGGGGAGAGAGGGACGGAGAGGAACGAGGGATTGAGCGATGGAGAGAGAGGAGCGGAAGGGGGGAGAGAGGAAGAAAGGGGTTGTGAATTGAGTTGGCTGGGAGAAGGGAGGGAAGCAGTCAGGTGGGGGGTGATTCCCATGGCTGTGCATTGCTGACACTGAGGAGGACAGCATTAACGCAGTTGAATAAGCATTTATTGCAGCTGTTGGAAAGGCAGCACACCTCCCTCTCTCGCAGCTCGCTGCTTTACGAAGACTCTGGTGCTGCTGCGTACAAGTGGCATGGCAAGGGAAGGACCATGGCCCATGAAAGAATACCGTAAGAAGCCATTCATCATCAGATTAAACGCAATGATGATGGTTTCGCGACAAGTGAAGCTGGAAAACTGGAGAGCCTGTTTCAGAGGCTGTACGATATACCGTACCATACGCTGCATCTGTCAGCCGGTTTGTGTTCAAATGTTCCTTCTGTTGGGCTGAGAAATGCCCTTGGGATCTTTCCAGAGACTAAGTCCCAGTTGTAAAAGACTTGAGTAGTGCAGCGGAAGTTGAGTAGTTGAACCCTTGTACTAGTATATGAGAACAAGTGATTGATTAAAAGAAACAAGCATACAGTAATATATAGAAAGTAGGAAAGTAAAGCAGTTGTAGAATACAGTTAAAGGATCGGTTTCTCGAGTCGCACAGCGACTCGATTGACGGTTCTGTTACCATCCTTGCAGTTGTAACGGTCAGTCGCAACCTCCGGTTGCGACTCTTCGTGTCCATTCGTGTTCTTTGTCTGCCCCTTCGTGTAACCTTCGTTGACTCGCGTACCCGTTATGACTTTTCCTCAAGTGTAGTGTTTACACTTCAGAAACGCTTAAGTCTTTGAGATATTTCCAACACTCCCCTTCGTTTCTGGAGTGCTGACGTGTCCAGATTCGGCGACGTTTATCTGCCCGGTCAGTAGCATGCAGTGGTCGAACTTTGCTTTCGCCAGTTTCTTCGTCAAGTAGTCTGCGGCCATTTCTGTTGTAGGGCAGTAACTGAGTTGAAGTCTCCCCTTCGCGATTTCATCTTTGACGAAGAAGTATCGCAGGGCGATGTGTTTGGTTCGGTTGGCGAAGCCGTCCTTGTTCGCGATTTTGATCGCAGATTGGTTGTCGCAGAGGAGTGAGAAGACGGGCAGGGTCGCAATCTTGGCTTCCTCGAGCAACTCTCGCAGGTAAAGTCCTTCCTTGGTCGCAGTGCAGAGGGCGATATATTCTGCTTCAGCCGAAGATAGTGCGATTACATTAGTTCCTGTTTGCTCGACTGCCAGGAGATAGTCCCAATAGGTTCCAGTCGGTAGATGTAGCCCGTTCTCGATCATCGATTTTCCCTGTCTCCCGCGTGGTCGGCGTCGACGTATCCGAGTAATTGTACGGACGATGTTGTTGCTTTACTGTAGGTCAGTCCGGTCGTCGGCGTAGAGACGAAGTAGAGTAGTGCCCGATTTAATTCCTCGAGATCTTCTTGTTCCGGCTGTTTTAGATGCGTCGCCAGTTGGCTCGCGCTGTAGGATAGGTCAGGTCGACAGGTTACTGCTGCGAATAGTAGGCAGCCGAGCTTCTGCTGATACTCCTGGATTTGCTTCGCGGGGAGTTTTGCGGAGGTGTCGTTGTTGTTCCCGTAGCGGAAGGGATTCGCGACTGTAGTTGGTGTTAGTCCGAACTTCTTTGCGACGACGCCTGCATATTTTCCAGCATATAAGTAGAACGCCGAGTTGTCTTCGACGACGTTCAGACCCAGGTACTGGGTTACGGTGTCTGACACCGTCAGTGTCAAGTCCCTTTTTAACTCTCCTTCGAACTAGGTGGTGATGTCAGTAGTGGAGCCGATGTAGAGCAAGTCGTCGACGTAGACGATGAGTAGGATGAATTCCCTTCCTTTCTGTAGTCGGTACATGCCTTGGTCGTGCGGCAGTTGTAGGAATCCGATTCCGACGAGGCGACCGTGAAGGTGCTGCTGCCAAAGCCGCGAGGCTTGCTTGATCCCGTAAAGGGATTTTATCAGCTGGCATACTTTTGTGGGGTCGTCGATGAATCCGTGGGGCTGCTCGACGAAGATCTCGGCGTCCACAGGTGCGTACAGGAAAGCATTTGCGACGTCGATTTGGCGCAGTGGTAGTTTCTTCGTGGCCGCGACGGCGAGTAGGATGCGCAAGGAGGTGTGACGGGAGACTGGGGCGAATGTTTCTGTGTAGTCGGTTCCGTATCGTTGATCGAAGCCTCGTACGACCCATCGAGCTTTGAATCGTTCGATGGAACCGTCCGCATTGGTCTTGATGCGGTACACCCACTTTCCCGAGAGGACGTTTTTCCCGTTGATGCTCGTTGCAGGTACCAGCTTCCATGTATTTCGGTATTGCAAAGCGTTTAGTTCCTTTTCCATCGCCTCCTTCCATTTCGCCTTATGTTCCCCCCCCAGAGCCTGTGACAGAGCCGTGGGCTCGCGCGGAGATGGAAGCGGCGGATGCTGGACGGAGACCCATAAGCCGAGGATTTGCAGTCCCGTGTGTCGAGGGGAATTTTCATTCCCGGAATAGGCTGCTTCGTCACCATCTTCTGGATCAGGTAAGAAGTTTGGGCCGATGCGTTCTGAGACATTCGTGTCGACTGGGTGAGGTGTAACACAACCTTGGTCAGCGAAGTGGTAAAAGGTGTCGAGGTTGTTGCTATCGAGAGGATTGTCGTCGTGGAGTGGGACTGGCACGGAGCAGTAAGGGAGTGGTCCGGCAGCTTCCGAAGCTCCAGGTACGTCTTCTTCTGCTGCGTCAGCCTCGGCAGCACGGTCACCGAAGGAGCGAAGGCCTGCGACACCGTCGGTGGGGTTGTCTGTGTTGGCAACGTTGTCCAGGTAATGCTCCAGCGTCAGTCGTTCATAGAAGATCACATCACGTGATGCCACGGTATTTTTGTCTTGTATGTCGAGGATTTTCCATGCTTGAAAATGTTCGGCGATGCCGAGGTGTAGTCCCCATCGTGTTCGTTGAGTGAAGCGTCCTGCTCTGGTTGTGTGGGGTCTGTACTGTACCATGCAGCCGAAAACCCGAAGTAATTTTGTGCTGCCCCTTTTTCTTGTCCACAGCAGGTGCGGTGATGCGTTGTTGGGAAGCGATGACGAGGATAGCAGGTTGTGGAGGTGGACTGCATGGGTCATCGCGTCTGGCCACAGTGCATTGGGCAGTCTCATTCCTAGGAGCAGCTTCCGCATCTTCGTCTGCAAGGTCTGGTTCATTCTTTCTGCGACCCCCTGCTGTTGGTGAGCGTAGGGAAGAGACACCAAGCGTCTGATTCCTCTTTCCGCCAAGTAGGTCCTGAAGCGTTGTGACTGGTATTCTAGTGCGCCGTCTGACTGGAAGCTTTTGAGCTTCGTTCCTGATTCTCGTTCAGCGATGGGAAGCCACGTCTTGAAGGCTTCGAAGGCTTGGTCTCTCGTCTTGAGTTTGTAGTGCCAGACATATCTTGTTGCTGCATCGATGAACGTTATGACATAATTGAAGTCGGCTTCAGTGTCGTCTCGATGCATGTTTAAGATGTCGCTGTAAACCTTTTCCATTGGTGCGTATGCAGGTGCGCTTGGATTGTGTTGTGACGGAAAAGGTTGGTGCTGAAGGTCTGCTTCGGGGCATGTGAAGCACCGTGCGCGAGGTCGTCGAAGTTCTTGTCCGCTTGTTGTAAGGAGAGCGTTTCGTTCTAAAACTTCGGCTTGGATGGTTTGTAGTACCGTGCTATTTACAGGATGCCCAAGGCGTTGGTGCCAGATGTCGTCGGAGGCGCGATGACCGGGCGAGCGTTGGTATATGTCGGTGTTGGAGAAGAACGCGACGACCGTGGCGAGACTTCGGCAGACTTCTCGTGTGATGGGCATAAGTTGATCTGCTTCAGTTGGTGGTCCTCGGATCGTTGGTGGTGGTACTCGGCTGGGTCCTGCTGCTGCTGCTGCTGCAGGTGATGGTTGGGAAGGGACGCTTGCTGGTACTTGTCTTTCTTGTCTGATGACTGCTAACGCTCATGTTCTCTCTGCTGCAGGTATGGTGTTGGAGTACCAGAATCCGTCGGGGTTGAAGTCGGGGTCAAGATCCGGCGGGTGCGTCCAGGCTGCGAACGACACGATGCCATCGCTGCCGGCAGTACCGCGGTCGGGGACGAAGTCCAACACGAAGACGCCGGACTTCAGGAGAGCTCGACCGATGAAGAGACCGCCCTTCCCGTGGTAAAGACGAAATTCGTTGGAGTCCGAGTCGCACTCCAGGTGAATCCCTTTTGCCATTAACTGGCTGACGCTGAGCAAGTTGTATCCCAGATTGTCGACGATGAGAACTTTGTTGAGTTGTAGTATAACGTTTGTTTCCATGGACTGTAACTGAACCACTCCTTGTCTGTTTGTTTTCAGGTTCTCGTTGTTGGCGACGGTGATGATGACATCGCGGTTGAGGCTTCGTTCTCGCTGCACGAAGCGCCCGGAGGAGCACATGTGTTGACCGCAGCAGCTATCCAAGAACCAGGTGTTTCGTCCGGTGGGTTCGGCGTTGGCGACTGCAGCGTATGTCGGGTTGACCTGAAGTCCTTGTGAGCGTGGCGGCGGCAGTTCTTCTTCGTCTGGAGCGTAAGTGGGTGGTGATCCGGGTGTGCAGCTGTCGATGTGTATCATGCAGTTGATGATGTTCGGTGTACTTTGCGCAGATGTGGAGGAGCGCCTTGGCGGGCTTTCTTGAGTGGAAGCGACTTGTGGGTCTACTGGACGATAAGCTCGGGGACGTGTGCAGTTGACTTTGGAGTGTCCGGATGTTTGGCAGTTGTGGCAGAACGGCGGCACAATGGTGAGTCCTCTGTTGTCGCGTTGATCTTGCTTCCCGCGTCGATTGTAGTTGTTGTCGTTCCTTCGTTGAGTGTAGAAGACTAACGGTTGCTGCTTTCTTGGTTGTCTTTCTTCAAACAGGTCCATCTCCTGTTGTTCAGCATGAAGCTCGGCGCAGAGGTGCATCTCCGAGATTCGTCCGTGGGCGCGAAGGAGCGAGCGGGTGGTTCTCCATTCTGGCCCGAGCCCAGCGAGAACAAGCGTCACGAAGCTTTCTTCAGTGATTGTTCCTCCGCACCGAAGCAGGCGGTCGCGGAGTGTCTGGCATCGACTCATATACTGCATCGCCTTTTCTCCGGTCTTCATCTGTATTGTTGTCAGTTGCTGCATGAGTCTGCTTTGTGTCACGCTGTCGTTTGCTTGATAGAGACACTTGAGGTGATGCCATGCGAGTTCCGAGGAGGACTGTGTACGCCAGCAGCGACTGATACGTAAAGATTTCTTGGTCTTTCGCAGTGCCGTTGCTTGGGAATGGCAGGGACCCGTTGAAGTATCCCAAGAGATGCGCAGCCTCCATCAGCAGCTCGAACTCAAAGCTCCAGGTAAAGAAATCGTGTCCGTTAAACGGTGAGGATGTCTGCAGTTTGATCACGTGCGAAAACTGCGCCTGGAGACTTAAAATCTCATTTGGTGTCTGTTGTGATGCAGCTGCTGTTGGTTGGGCACGGGGCGGCTTGAACTCGAATGTCCCCGGTGAAGAGTGATAAGGCGCAAAGGTAGGCGCTTGATTGTGTTGCCCGAACGATGAGTTGTCGAGGCTCATCGGCGCTAATCCCATGTTTCTTCCGTTGCTTTGTGTTGAATGTGCAGGTGTCCTTGTCTGCTGCTGCTGGTCGAAGTGCGACATGAAGCTGAAGAACCTTTCCATAAGGTTTGGATCCACGCTTGAAGAGGGTGATGGGGTCACCATTTCCGGTGCTCTTCCTGTTGTTTCTTGAGCAGCGCCGGTCTCGGTTTGCAGTCCTGAAGTGTGCAATCCAGAGTTGCCGGGTTGAGTGTCCTGGGCGCTGGGTGAGCCCGTGGAGATTTTCTTGCCCTTGCTGTCCATGACTTGTAATCAATGAAGTCGTTGAATTGCAGATTGTAGATAGAGTGTAGTTGCTGGGAGTTTGGTCTCTGACCAACTCTCATACCATGTTGGGCTGAGAAATGCCCTTGGGATCTTTCCAGAGACTAAGTCCCAGTTGTAAAAGACTTGAGTAGTGCAGCGGAAGTTGAGCAGTTGAACCCTTGTACTAGTATATGAGAACAAGTGATTGATTAAAAGAAACAAGCATACAGTAATATATAGAAAGTAGGAAAGTAAAGCAGTTGTAGAATACAGTTAAAACCACAGGCTAAAATAGCACACCTTGGGCGCTCTTGAAAACTGTGATTTTTTGCGGTCAGAATAAACGGCACGTTGTGGAACACTAATCTCCCCTCTACGCGAAAACAAACGTGTTGCAACAATGTGAAACACTGCAAGTGGACCTCGGCACTCCTTGCGAGGGCACAATTTTGTTTGAACAGGGTGCGACGAACCCTAGAGTCGCACGAGTCAACTGAAACTAACCTCCATGCGACCACACCCCCACACCTCGTCGTTCAAGAGCTCCATGGGTGTGCAACCGGTTTTCAGACGTAGATTATTCCCATACCTAGAGTATCTTAGACAGCCACACTTGACACCAGGGAGGTATTTAAAAATGTACAGCAGACGCATTGAGTCAGTAACTGCCCAAGGCACTGCCATAAAGTTTTTGCTGCGGAAAAAATCGATCAGATGTGTAGTGGTGGCGTCTTGAGCTTTGGAAACGAGTTTTGATTATCGGATATGACGAGTATTCCATCGTCGTAGCGCGGGATAAATACCTTAGATCCCGCCATTAGCCGCACGTGATCCAGCGCGACATCCCCTAGTCCCGATCTGCTAAAAAAACCACAATCTTCCGTTTGCTTCATGTGGTACGTTGCCAAGTCCTCCACGTCTAGTCCCTCTTGTCACTTCCCTCACCTTTGGTCCCTCGCCTCTAGTCCCTCGCCTCTAGTCCCTCGCATCTAGTCCCTTGCGCCTAGTCCTGTATGCCTATTACGTCGCGTCTAGTCCGCCACGCCTCGTCCTCCAATCCTCATCCGTCGCGCGAGGAACCCGACGGCGCCACGTCCATTGTATAGCCCTGGCGTTTTTCCCCTGACCGCCCCCTATCTCAACTCCTTACCTCTCATCGTCTATCACTTCACGTCAAGTATCACTCAACACCGTCGACTGTATGACTCACCTCGGAACGAGAGAAAGAGGTAGGCGGAATGGGGGCGGAATGGGGAAAATAGGTACGCGGAATGGAGGGAAGAGTTTAGCGGAAAGAGGGAAAATGGTTGGCGGAGTGAAGGGAAGAGGGGGGGAAGAATGAAGGGAAGAGAGGGGGAAGAATGAGGAGAAGAGGTAGGGAAGAACGAAGGGAAGAGGGGGGGAAGAATGAGGAGAAGAGGCGGGGAAGAATGAAAGGAAGAGGTGGGGAAGAATGAAGGGAAGAGGGGGGGAAGAATAAAGGGAAGAGGGGGGGAAGAATGAAGGGAAGAGAGGGGGAAGAATGAAGTGAAGAGGGGGGGAATAACGAAGGGAAGATGGGGGGAAGAATGAGGAGAAGAGGGGGGGAAGAATGAAGGGAAGAGGGGCGGAAGAATAAAGGGAATAGGGGAACAGAATGAGAGAGAGGGGGGCTGGGGAATAAGTAGGTTGGGAGATACCCGCAGGGAGAGGGGGTACGGTTTGGTATCTGCCCGACCTGACCCCTTCCCCGTCTCTGGATTCCCTACCACCCCCTCTCAATTCCCCCTCCACCTCTCCAGCCGTCACCCTTTCCTTCACCATTCTATTACCCCATCTCTCCATCCCAAGCCCCACCCATATTATCCCTTCTATCTGGCCAGGGAGGAGGGATTTCCCGACACTGGCCATGCGATCCCTTCTCTCAGCGGCAACGAGTGGGAGGCATGTGAGGAAAATCCAGCAGACCTAGCACCAGCAACAGCGCCAAAATAACAGGCAGCAGCGTGCCGTCCCCCCACCGGCCTGGAATCCCCTTCCCTTCTCCCTGCAGTAACCACTGCTGATGCTGTCCCTCCTCCCCCTGTCATCACGTCTCTCTCCCCTGCCGCCTCCCCTCCCCCCGCTCACCCTCCATACACCCCTGAACCTGCACACCACTCCCCTTCTCCACGCCCCGCTTCCCCCCCCCCCCGCCCAGCGCATGTGTCTCTCTCTCCTCTGGACTCGGCTCAACAGCTGACCTTCTCCGCTGCTGCAACCACGGCACCTGGCGTTCCTCCTGCCCCTACTGTGGCAGCAGCTGCAGTGCTTTCAGACAGCATCTCAGAAGCAGAGAAGGGCACTCTAGGGTGGGGCCACAGGCTGAAGAATGGAGAGGTGCAGGAGTGGGAGGGGGGGAAGGGGACCAGGGGCGCGCATGGGGAGGGTAGTATCTGGAGCGGCCAGAGAGTGCAAGTGGGCAGTGAAGTGGAGGACAGGCACGGAGACACAAATGGCTGGCTTGGCAACGGCAGCTGAAGCCAGAGGCTATGCCAGCACTGCCGCCAATGCTGCATTACTATCTGCTGCCACTGGTGCCGGGAATGTTGCACGTGCTGCCATTTCAAGCTCTGCGAATGGCGAAGGCAACGATATTGTACGCGCTTGTCACATTTTTTCATGGCATAATTTTGCAATAAATCGTCGACTTTCTCTCTAAGGAAGCCACAACGGTATAAAATGCATTTTGCATACTAGTCCATTGTAATATTGATAAATTTATATAACATTCATATTGTTTTCCAGGGTATGAGTTACACACCACTTATATTTTACAAATGAGTGTCGAGGTTCCACAAGCCCTTTTGGCGTCAACCTGATCAGAACCCCTTTCTCACTTCACACATACTGACGCAGATAGCCCCCTCTCTATGCATGTTTCGTCAGAGTCTTGCCCATTCCCGTAACTTGACCCGGGACCCGATCCGACCTAAACACGCCCCGGACACAATCGAATTCCTGTCTTGCCATTTTGGCGGGAAATTTGGTCTGTCGCGCATGACTTCGCCGCCTCGTCGCACGCGTTTCCATATCGCCCAACCCAAAGTAGGTGCGTAATATTGTGGTTCAAATCTGCACATCTGCCCCAAACTTCTTATGGCAGTGTCGCACTAGCACCCCAGCTTTTTTCAAGTGTGCCCACTTTCAAGAACGGCGCTCTTGAAGCCCCCCCCTTGCTATTTTAGCCTGTGGTTTTAAAGGATCGGTTTCTCGAGTCGCACAGCGACTCGATTGACGGTTCTGTTACCATCCTTGCAGTTGTAACGGTCAGTCGCAACCTCCGGTTGCGACTCTTCGTGTCCATTCGTGTTCTTTGTCCACTCCTTCGTGTAACCTTCGTTGACTCGCGTACCCGTTATGACTTTTCCTCAAGTGTAGTGTTTACACTTCAGAAACGCTTAAGTCTTTGAGATATTTCCAACACCTTCTACCGGTAGTGTCTGTTTAGAAACACACGTGCATGTTGTGAGGAGAGGGCGACTCAAGGGCACATGAATAATCCAACTAAAATACAATGACCAACAATTTCCTTTGTACAACTAGGTCTAATAAATAATGAATCTCCCTGTTATGGAAACTACAACGCATTTGCTCCGCCACACTCGCAGAGCCTTGATTTTTTCAGAACCAGAAACACTTACCACCTTGGGCCATTAGCTGGATACGTTGGCTCCTGCTCCTGCTCTTGCCGGCTGTTGCTAAGCTAATCCTGTTAACCCTGCTGCTGCAGCTGCCTCAGCTGCTCCTGGCATGCCTCCATCCACGCGTTCACCCTGTCCATGGCCACCTGCAGCTCATCTAACGCCCTCTGCCTGTGCATCTCCCTCTCCCTCTCTCCTAACGCTTCCATCTCCCTCTCCCTCTCCCCTCCAACAGCCATACCTACCACCTTCTTTGGTCCCTCCTCTCCCTCCTCTCTCCCCTCTCCCTCGCCTTCCTCCTCTTCCTCCTCTGCTCCCCTCGTCGTTATCGCCTCATTGTCATCGTCATCGTCATCATCAGAGATAAATTCCTCTTCCTCTGTCTCCCCCAATCCGCGTTCCTCCCTCGCCTCCCCCCACCTCTCCTTTTCCACAGGCAGCAGCCCTCCGCGTGGCGTCACAGGAGCGCTTCCAGGTGGCGGAAGCGCATTAGTCAACAGTGGGCTCGCTGCTGACTCACCGCCCATTCCCAGCCGCAGTTCCTCCGCCCGCCCGAACCTCGACGGGAACCTGGACGGCCGGTCCGGCGAGGAGGTTCGGTGGCGCCGAAGCTCGCGGCGGGCAACCCGGCCAACAGGGCTCGCCTCAGTTGGCGTGCCTGTTGGCGGTGGACATGGCACTCCAGCCAACGCGATTGCTGCAGCAGCATGCAAGCGCGCCGCCTCATCATTTCCTACTTGCTTCCCATGCCCAAACCCATACCCGTGCCCGCTCTGCAAGCCAGTTGCGCCATCTTCCGCCGTGCCCTTACCGCCGTTGACCGTTTGTTCCGCCTCTCCGCCATTCGCGCTGCCCTCTCCGTTTCTGCCGCCCGCAACACTAGCGCCAGCACCGCCATAAGACGGCGCTGCTGCTGCAGCCGACGTTACCGCTGCTCCCCCCTCCGTCTCTGTTCCCGCCCGCGGCGATCGCACCGCCGCGCTCCCCCTCTGCCGCAGCCGCTGCTTCGCTAGCGATCGCGAAGGCGACGCGCTCCCGGGGAACAGCATCGGGTCGCCGCCAGCGGGCCGCGCAAAAAAATCTCCTCCCGCGGACCACAGTCCCCGCAGCTGCTGCTGCGCCGCCCGCTCCCGCTCCTCCTCCGCGCGGCAGATGGGGCAGCGGCACCTGGCCTTGGAACTCGGCGGCGCCGCCAGCGCCTCCGCCACCGCAATCGCCCCCCCTTCCCCGTGGGGTTTCCGCCCGCCTCCGCCCCCTCCCCCTCCCCCTCCCCCGCCGACCCCATAAGCAGCCTTTGCGCCGGGAAGTGCGGACAAGCAGTAGGTGCTGCCGGGGTCGAGACGGGTGGCGGGGGGGAGCGACGCGGAGGGGGCGGCAAGCGCGACGAGGTCGTGGTTGGGGAAGTCCGCGAGCACGTCCGCGACAGTGAGCGGCGCGTTAGTGGACGGGGAAGGCGGCGACGAGGAGGCGTGGTGCGAAGACGAGTACATGCGGAGCGATCCATCCTCCAGGAGAACCATCACCGGGTCTAGTGGCTCCACCGCCGCTGATTCCGCCGCGGACACCGCCGCCGCCGTCGCAGCCGCCGCAGTGGGGGAAAGGACGCTGGGGGAGAGGTGGCGGTGCAGCGTGCGGATGCACGCGCGCGGGGGGTGCAGCAGCCCCGCCGCGACTTTCGCGCCCCATCTCGCGGCGACGAATGCGGCAGCGCGTCTGGCGCTGCTGGAGGTGGTTCCGGTCGCGGTGGTGGCGGTCGTAGTGGTGCTGTGACATCCGTTGCTGCTTGCGACGCTGCTGCCGCCGCAACTCGCGGCGTCGAATCTGCTGCTGCTGTCGTACGCGTCAGCCGCGGCATAGGAGGGCATTGCGGGCTGAGCGCCGGCAGCGGCGGCGGCGGAAGATGTCATTAGGGCGATATCAACGGTGCTGGTCGGGAAGGGCTGCAGCTGGAGAATCGCATTGCCGGACATTGCGGCGCGATGGGCGGTGGAGGGTAGCAGGGGGGCAGACGGCAGAGGAGGAGGTGGGAAATGGAGGAGAGGGGTCGTAGGAGAGCAAGTGGCGTGACGAGGGAGTGGCAAGGAACGATAGCGGAAGCAGGTATGTGGCGGAGCCTTTTCAGTCGACTTGGGGGTCACCTCATTGGGATGGGGCGGAGCGTATTCTCATTGTCCTAGCCCGCTAGGTCGTTGGACGAGGGATGGAGACGAGGGAGGTCCTTCTAACGTGTGTGGGACTGCGCGGGACGGGACGCGAATGCGATGCGGCCCCTCGTCTGCCTTGCCGTAGTAGCGTCAAGTCGATGCGTCGATGCGCCGATGCGTTGAAGCGTTGATGTGCCAGATGTTGTCAGTGCCAGACTTGGCGGGGGTGATGGGTGCTGCTGTAGGGACACTGGTGCTCGTGTGCTCCTGCTGCTGCTGTGCTGTGCTGGTGGTGGTGGTCGTTGGACTTCCTTTTTGCGGGTCAGAGTGGCACGGGGAGGGCTCCCTCGCCGTCTCTTGAAGGGGAGGAAGACGAGCGAGCAGGCAAGCAGGGTTGGGGAGGAGTGACAGCAGAAATGGCGAGAGATGGTTGGTTGGAAGGGAGGGATGCAGAAGGTACAATGAAGGGGACCTGACAATAGGAATGCTGTTGGGGGGAACGAATCGGGGCGGGTGTGAGAGCAAGGGCAGCAGGAATGGCAAGCGTGGTTGGAGTGGAGGTTTTGCGTGGTTTTCCAGCTGCGACTTGGCCCGGGGGGAGCAAATCTATGTGTTGGTTGTCAAATTTCATTCGCCGCATCCCACTAAAATGCTGCTGCTGCAGCTCCCCTGTGTGTTTTCGCGTGTTTCGTGCCCATGTAACGGCTTCGATGCCATCTTCGCAAGCCTTGTTTCGACGCAAGAGGAAAGAGATGAGGTCCATCAGAATTAATCTGGTTACCCTAGTCTGAGTGATGACGGTGCAGTTACCCGTGGACCAGAATTTTGACAAGATGCGGTCGGTGAAAAAGTACAACGACAGGGAGGCGAATCCCCGCAACCCGACTGGACGAAAACCGGGCTGGCTGCCCAACCACTTCCGAAATTTCTGCGCTCCGTCAGCATGAGTTGCTTGCGTGCAACTTCCCCCCTCCATGCTGTCAACTTCCTCTGAGTACACCATAAACCTCGTTAAAATCAAGCATGCATGTCAGGGCGGCTGCGTTTGTTACTAGCGGAATGTGATTGTACGTGACACAGCGCGGAACTAACCGCCTGGGGTATTCCCCAAGCACCCGAAGCACTGGTGGTGTACTCTGGAGTGACGAGTGTTTGAACCCACAGAGAGGGCTAACCATAAAGGAGATTTAGAACACTAAGGGGCCGCACCACCCAAAAAGGCCCGCGCACTGTAGTGAACCGAATGCTGTTCCTGCACCGTCATGAGCAGGTCAGGGGAGTTCCCTAATCGCTCGCGAACTCACAGATGGGTGTTCACGTAACCCTGTGCGATGTGTTGAAGCTGGTTTGGACGCCTGGGGAAGTTCACAGGGACTGGCTCAACCCGTTCTCGCCTACTGTTTTTCCCACGCTATGCCATATCGGGTCCAGGGCAATGTGAAATTTCATCTTACAATGTGATTGATGCTACGTGATTTAAGGCTATCGAGGTTTGGGGTGTACAGAACATTACAACCGCACTTGGAAGCTGGCCCACGTTTCAAACTCCTTTTCACAACGTTTATTTAGAAGCGCTCTATCGGGCGGGAAAAAAGTTTCCTACAATGGAGATTACTGACTCAACTGGAATACACACAGGCACTTGCATTGTAGTCCTTCTGGCTAGGGCTGTGTGGCCGCTGAGTCTCGTAAGCGGCAGTAGGAAACTCGCTTCTGACGTTTGGGCTCCCAGCAGAGAAATCTCAGAATCGACCTTCCGTTATCAACCGCAAAGGCTCCATTTAGACCTAAGGTACAATGCAGCCTTCCGTTTTCCCTACTGTATCTATTTCCTCCCACGACAAGTGTGACGAAGATTGGGCGGGGCGGAAACAAACAATCTTGCCTAGTGCCTAGTCAGAACGGAAGACGAGGACAAAACAACAGTTTCTTTGCGAGTTCACAGTTCGTAACAGTCACCATAACGCGGGCCTCCAAGATCCCATAACTGTACGCAAAATAACGTAGGTAACGGGCGTCATCGCAAATTCAGAAACGGTGTTACACGTGATGGATATTGTTATGAATAATAACGAAGAGTGCGTGGAATAATGGTGACAAGTACAAGAATGGGAGCCTATCACTATATAGCGACAGCTCTAGCTAAGCGACGAGCCTTGAGGGCTAGGTTGGGTACAGGCGTGGTCGAAAGGGGCGGAGGCGACGCGTCTTAGAGTATAAAAGTTGACTAGAATGAAGCATACAAGTTGATTTTGTTCAAGTGGTTGTAACCTCTAAGCGCATGCACCTATCTAGCCTATTAGGGCGTGTCCAGCGTGTTCGTTTACTATTCACTTTGCATATCCGGTACATTTTTTTGACCTGGTAACCCGTGTCACAAGACTAGCTTAGCTAGGAAGCCATAAAATGGCATGGGGTTTAGCTAGGAGCTAGGAGGAGCCATGGAAATGGCGAGAGGTTTTAGGTGCTAGGAAAGTTGAGGAGAGAAAAGAGAATCAGAATAGAGAAGAGAGGGATACAAGGAGGGGTGTTGTACACTCTACAGTAAAGTTCGGTAAGCCTACCAAGCCTACAATTATATATTAACATATATAATTTAACACACCCCCTAGGCTTGGTAGACACAAGCCCACACACACCCACACCCCCTAACCTAGCACCCCCATTACAGCCACAGTGCCATCGACACTAGCTCGGTCGACCCCTCGGCGCGTGAGGCGGCGACGTCGACCGCAGGGGCTGCGGCGGCGACGGCAGCAGCGGCGGCAGTGTCGACAGCGGCGGCATGTGGCTGCGTGGCCCCGACGCAAGCGGCGACAACGGCGGCGACGTGCGGCTGCGTGGTCCCGACGCAAGCGGCGACAACGGCGGCTTCGACAACAGCGGGGCCTCTTCCTCCGGTGACGTGGCCAGGCCCCGCGACAGTGGGACGGCCGGCGGGAGTCAGCCGTCGTCTGCGGAAAAGAAGAGGACACAGGGGAAGGAGGGGGGGGGGGGGGGGGGGGGTGGGGGGCGCCACAGGCTGGCATGCGGGCGGCCGGTCTAGCGGCGCCACAGGCGTCGCGCGGCCAGCTGCAGCTCGACGATGCCGTGACAGAGCGGCGTCGACGCCGCGGTGGGACGTCGACGCTGCGACAGCAGCACGACGGCCCGACACCACGGCAGCGCGTCGAGACGGCCGCGGCACGACGCGGCCAGCGGCATCACGACGCCGCCACTGCAGCAAAACGCGGCCGCCATGGCCGCGCGAGCGAACGAGGGTGAGGAGTACGCTGAGGAAGCGAGAGGAGGCGGTCCAGCATGGAGGACCCCCTATCCTGATACCACGTTACAAGACTAGCTTTGCTAGGAAGCCATAAAATGGCATGAGGTTTAGCTAGGAGCTAGGAGGAGCCATGGAAATGGCGAGAAGTTTTAGGTGCTAGGAAAGTTGAGGAGAGGAAAGAGAATCAGAATAGAAGAGAGAGGGATACAAGGAGGGGTGTTGTACAATCTACAGTAAAGTTTAGTAAGCCTACCAAGCCTACAAGTATATACTAACATATATAATTTAACAACCCGAAATTTCTTGTCCATTCAGACACGCACGATAAATTGACGGTTTTGACAGACACCCTCCAAATGTGCCCACATACGTGGGCCACACGTTTCCGAACCAAATGAAAATCGTGCGCAAATTATGTACATGGCAAAAACGTCCAAATCCCGGCTGGCGAAAGATAGAACGCTTACATTCGCCACGCTCGTAATGCGTGTTCGCCCTCCCGGGCGGGGCCTCTTTCCCGAGGCGAAATTCGGCTACCCTGCTGTTTTCGCGTCTCAGTCTGTTATGTGCGCGCTGCGTACCCGCTCATTTGTCGAGCCACGGGCGGGGCTCATGTCCGCGCGTTTTGCTGTTGATACAGTGGGTGTACCTCAACACATTCACACTTGGTGAATCAATATTTCGACGTGTTAAAAAAACGTCAAAAATTCGTGTTGGGGCAAAATGAACGCGCTGGACACACCCTTATAACATATACAAATATGTTTGATACACCCCCAAGGCTACATGAAGAGCAGTGCCTGGAAATCGACACACAACTCAAGGTGGCACTACTAGTCCAGCCTTTGAGGCAAGGGTCCGAAGACCAATCAGAAAAAGTACAAATAAGACGAGCAAACCAGGGCGGCACTACTAGTCCGACCACTGGAAGAGAAGCCACAAGGCCAGTCAGAAAAGTATATATAAAGAGAAGTACGCATGCGCCTTAGTCAAGATATCAGCTATGTTGGCACCGGAGGCCAAGTGTACTACGCGGGCTTGGCGATGCTGCTGTAGCTCGCGCAGGAAGTACCGCAGCTGGATGTGCGTCGCTCTGCCTTCAAGTTGAGGCTCCTGACATAGGAGGATCATGGCCCTATTGTCAGACTACAGGACTGGGGCAGAGCTAGGCCGCTCAAGATTGTGAGCAAGAAAGTCTGCCAGCGGGGCTCCTGTGCGGCCATGCCACCAGCGTAGATCTCAGCATCGCATCTGGACTGTGCAACAGACGACGAGCGGGTGGACCTCCACGAGACCGCGCCTGCACCGGGGCTAAAGCAATAGCCCTGAGAGGACATGAGGGTCTCAGCGTCGTCTGCCCAAGAAGCGTCAGTGCGCATGACTTGTGGCAGGCATAAAAAAGTGTAAACCATTACAGTACCATATGAAACTGACGGTGGGAATCTCCGTCGTACGCTGGCAGGGGCCAGTTAAAAACTCGTGAAAACATAAATACTAGTTGCCGAAATTTCGTAGGCGCGGTATTCCCTCGCCGAAGTGGATAGGGGGGAAGAAAAGGTTTGACATTTCACGTCCAGGGCTTTCTTTTCGTTTCATGCTACCCTGTAATTTCAAGGTAGTTATTCCCCCAAGTCTAACTGGAACACACTTAGAACTGGGGGACTTAGCCGAATCCTCCCGGTTGCGAGGTGTATGGGAGGACTGTCTCTGTTAGTGGGGGACTTAGCCGAATCCTCTGGGTTGCAAGGGTATTACCATACAAGAGCTGTCTCTGCCAGTGGGGGACTTAACCAATTTTCGGAATCGCTCGAGGGTTGTGGGAGGAATGTCTTTGGCAGTGGGGGACTTAGCTGAAATCTTGGGTTGCGGGGGGTATAGGAGGAATGACTTTCGGATTGGGGGGACTTAGCCGAAATCTATAGGTTGCCAAGGGGAGAAATTATTATAGCGGGGGATCGCATGTGTGATTGTGTAAGGGTGATTTTACACAACACTTTTCCGCATCAGGGTCCCTACACTCGACCACTTTGAGAAAACAAGGTCCCGTATAGATCTAGTTTTTTTCCTAAGGGTAAAAAATTAAACCACTTTTAAAAATAAGGATCCAACACCTTCCCCACTCTTATTATAAGGGCCGTAAGGGTATTTTACCCTGATATCCTGAGGCCTGCTGTCGGGTGGTGGTTCGGGTGACGCGCACTGTCAGTACCTGCTCCATACCGGTCCTCGCCGTGGCTTCGTTTGCGGTAAGATCGGTCACACCTCCGTCCGCTGTTTCCGTCGCCTGGACGACCTGTTTCGTCAGCGTTTCGGCCCGTCGCCCAAGCTCCCAGACTGGCACAATTTGCTTCGTCGTAGGGTTCAGATTTTTTATCTGGATATGGATGAGATTGTTACTGCTCTGCATGTGATGGATGCTGATGACTCTAGTGTGCTTTCGTCTTACCGGTATTACCCCTTGTTGCCTAGTGTAGGTGTGCCATGCTTAGACTCCCCTGCTGCGTCAGGCGTAGGATCCCCTGCTTTGTTTAGCCTTGGTGCTTCCGTCGCCGCTTCGCCTCCAGCCGCCACTGCCGCGCTCTGATACCATGTCAGAAAGAATCATTGAACTAGAATGTCTGAGTACAAGAGTATATAGACCAGGGTGTTGTACCAGGGCTGATTTTATCAGACTATTTTAGTCTGATTGTCTGAAATTTCAGACCCATTTTTTTGCCAATCCTGATTTTTCAGACTTAGGCTTTTCTGGATACTGAACCCTTCAGACTTGTAAGATTTTGGATCCTGAAGTTTTCAGAGTAGTCGTTGTACGGATACTGAGGGTTCAGAGTACATCGCGTATGGACTCTGAATGCGACATCCATGCACCTTGTACTTTCCACGAGATTTCCTCTACTACGTCATATGTTGCCTTCATCATTTCACCCCCGCACGTCTCACGTGAAGTATCTGCACTTGGCAGGATTCTCGCCCCCTCTGTGACTGTGATGCTGCCTCAACAGGGACTTTGCCGCTCAGCGCGTCATGCTTCCTGCCACGCGTGCGACCTCTACGTGGGTGTGTTGGAAGCCATCAAAGGTTGGTAACGCGGGATTCTTGCCCTCGCTGGCATGTGCAAAACTTTCCGACCGACCGTGATTGGCGACAGTTCATGCCAACACATGGTTCGTTCGTAACGTCAGCTCATGTTTGGCATGGCGGCGCGGGTTTGGAAGGGGCTGCCATCCAGAAGCTGACGACGACAGTTAACCAAGAAACACGCGCCTCGGGCTTGATGGTGCCCTTCTTCTTCGTCCCTCTCATCCCTCCCCCTCCTCTCAGGCGCACTCAGGCTTTTACACGGGGTTTGTAAATCTTACTCGTCAATTCGTGTTTCGTTGTTCTCGTCCTCACGTAGGTTGTCGTTTGTCGACCCCGTCAACAGCCATGACGGGGACTCCTGCAGAAGAAGACGATGAGCCCAGCGCCGATGAACCACCTCGTAGTAACGAGCCTGCAGAGGTTCGTCGCTCTGCGATAGACATACTGCGGTCGTTAGGTTCTCCTCCCGTCGTTGCTGTTGTGGTTTCCTCCGCAGCGGAGGAAACCCAGCCTGCTCTAAACCCACCCCCGTCCGCGCCCTTCGTGCCACCACCATATGTCCCTCCGCCTGCCGTCGCCTCATCCAGCAGAGGCCCGACTCTGCCCGTTAAGTGCGTCACCGCCACCACAGTCCGCTACAGCGTGCCCTGCGCGTCCACGATTTCGTCTGCGAAGAAACAACGGACGGGCAAGTACACCCAGTCTCAAATCATGATCGGAGGTAGGCTCCGCCACCCATCCACGCCGCCATCACCTAGTGCAGTCCCTGCCGTCGTTGAACCGCCACCGCCAAAGCTGAGTAAGAAGGAATTGATAGAGCAGAAATACCTCGTCGCTGAAGCAAAGTACAAAACTTCATGGCTGCCTTTCTTTCCATGGCTAGTGCTGACCAAAACAAAAGACGGCCACCCTTCTCTCAAGTGCAGTGTGTGCATGACGTTTGGCAAGGAGACCACCAAGTACAGCTCTTCGGGCGATGGTGGCCGAGACCTGCAGACACAGACTATGCGCATACACGAGCACTCTTCTGCACACAAGGAAGCTGTGGATGCCCAGCTGAAGATTGCCGACGACATCGCCGATGGACAGAAGAGGATGGACGACTATTTGTCGTCGGATGTCGAGGGGAGGCGGGTCGTGCGACTGCTCCGCGCTGTTGAGTTTCTCTGTAAGGTCGATGCTCCCATCAGCATGTTTCCTCGGCTATGTCGCTTTATGGCTGAGCAGGACACCCCGGACCTACCGCTCCAGTCTTACGGTGTTTATCTCACTCGGTAAGTACCGGCGACGAGATTCCATTAGTCTTCTCCGTTGGATTTTTTTAACAATTACTCTCTCTTCTGCATGCAGGTACGGCTTTCAACAGATGGTCCACTGCTTGGCGACTCTTCTTCAACGGACCCAGATGCAGCACATTCAATCGTCCCCGTTCATCGGCATCAGTTGCGACGAGAGCACTGATCGTACTAGAGGGAAGCACCTGATAGTGTACCTCACGTTCCTGCGCCATCGCCGCGTCGTCACCGAGTTTTTCTCGTTGCTCACCGTCGAGAAGTGCGACGCCGCCTCCCTGCTCTCCGTGCTTCTCACTCATCTTCAAGGCGCCGGCATCGAACTGAACCGCATCGCGGGAATCAGCACCGATGGCGCTTCCGTCATGGTTGGTCGTGAGAACGGTCTCGTGGCGCGGCTCCGCGAGCACATCCCTCACCTTGTGTCGTCCCACTGCATCGCCCACCGGTATAAACTCGTTATGTTATGTTGTCGCTTTTTTCTTTTATTCGTTTACTAATCTTTTTACATGCACTGTGCGCAGGGAAGCTCTGGCTGTGAAGGACGCCGCGTCTGCCTGTCCAGACTTGGACATGGTCGACAAGGTTATCCGAACTCTGGCCGATCTCCTCGGCCGTTCAAGCGTGTGGAGCCAGCGGTTCAAGTACCTTCAGCGTGTCATCCACAAGACCAACCTTGAAGTTCAAGGAATCCACGCGATTCGGTGGTTGTCCAGGGGCGAGGCAGTCAGACGCCTCTGTAAGGTCCTTGGTGCGGCCATCGTTTTACTGTACGAGTATAACCATGAGCTGTACGAGGTTGTCATCTCATACAAGTTTCAGTTTTGTCTCTTCTTCCTGGCGGACGTCCTCGCCATCATGAACGAGCTCAACCTCAAGTTTCAGAAGCGAGAGGTGAGCCCTTGCATGTGAGGTTGTGGTATGTTCTTTCACAATCAGCACTAACATTCTCCCCCTTGATTTGCGCCCCCCTGTTTCCACCACCCCCCCCCCCCCCCCCCCCCCCCGCCCGACCGCAGGTGGATGTTACCAAGATAACACAGGACGTCGACGAGGCGGTGGGGGATCTTCGGCACCGCTACTTGGAGTGCGGCGGGGTTTTCGGTGCGGGCGTAAGCGGCACGTGGCTCTCGGCTTTCTTAACCGTGTACGGGCGAGGGGGGGCGAAGAAAGTGAAGGTGCGCGGCGTCGACAAGGACGGGCAGCCGGTGACGCACACGTACCAGATGCACGAGCGGCAGATCAAGGGGCACGTCTACCAGAGCAACTACCGGGACTGCGAACTGTTATGCGCGAAATTCGCGAGGGGGAGCGTGACGAACCTGCTGGAGCGGCTGGACGACCTGTCGAAGCTCGGGCCGACAAAGCTGTTTCGGGCGGGCAAGTGGCCGCGGCATCGGATGGTGAGGGAGAAGAAGACGAGAGAGTATCTCCATGGCTGCAGTACTATCTTCGACGACAAGCTCCCCGGGTTCGATTTGAAGGAGGCGGAGAAGGAGCTGGCAACTTGGGCCCCGATCATGCAGAACCACCACAACGAGGAGGGCTTCTACCAGGGCCTCACGAATTACCTTGGCAACACGGAGTCAAGCAGGTAAGTCGAGTCTCCAAAGCACGCTGCTGTGTCTGCCTGTGTATGATTGTTTTTGCCAGTTTGATCACGCTAACTGTCTATGTTTGTATCAACTTCTATTGTTCCTTTCCCACCATGCTTGTAGTTTATAATTGATTCTATTGTTCCACGCCTCTTGTGTGTGGTTGTTCCATAAACAGGCGCTGGCCCAACCTCATGCTTCTCTGGCAAGCATGCGCGGTGTTACCACTCTCAACTGTGGAGTGCGAGCGTGGTTTTTCCAGGCAGAACGTGATCAAGTCTTGGGTCCGTGGTGCTCTGTGCAATGCCCGCCTGGGTGAGCTGGTGATGATTTCGCTGCTGAGATACGACATCAATTGGCAAGAGGCGCTGGAGCTGTGGCACGCAAAAAGGAGAAGACCAGCGAAGTCGGTGGTGTTCGCATCACAAGAGAGGAAGCGCAAAGGCAAGGCTCTGCTGGAAGAGGCAGAGCAGGAACCTCCAGTGCCAGACTACTTAGGAAAGGATTGGGATGAGGAGGAGGAGGAGGAGGGGGAGAGGGATGGTGGAGGTGCAGTAGCTATAGAAGACAACCCCTTTCTGTCGGATGATGCGGCGGAGGATGTCGTCGCTGTGGATGTGCCAGAGTTCTAGCTAGGCTAGGAAATTAGACTAGGTGTAGGTTAACTGCCCGAATGTTATGAAAAATTGGCGACTAAATGGTAAAATCACGACTCTGATTCATACTTGCGAACCCTGAAGAAATCAGGCTTGAAAGTTACTGGATCCTGAGAAATCAGACTACCAGGAAAACTGAAACCTGACTACTCAGACTTGGGAAAATTTTTTGGGGCTAAAATCAGAGTGGGTTTTTTTGAAACGTCAGCCCTGTGTTGTACCTTCTAAGGCACAATCCAGTATAGTCTACAGTAACGACCTAAGTTACATTTGACAACAGCACCATAGCACAAAACCTCCTTGTATGCCTCATTCTATTCATTGCGTTATTATGAGAAAGAGGTCATTTCTTGGATGTGCCGAAGCCCCCGAACCCCATGAGTGCAGCCATCTCAGGGTCGATGTCGTCATCCGCACTCTGTGGTTGCTGCTCCTTCTGCTCACCGCAGCGTCACAACACAACACACCAGGACGGGAGAGGACACGGCAGGACACGATTGCATCTCCAACAGGCCCAGCATTGGATCATTCGAGCACGGAGCACTGTAAAGCAGAGCTTTAAGCATGGGGTGGAGCAAAATGACTGCACACTAGCACCTCATGAAAACCAAACCCTCGTGCAACTAGCTCCAGCATCAGACACCTCTCACAGGCACCCTTCTTCACTACCCCCACCATTCTTCTCTTTCCTTCCACTTCTTCCCACCACCTCTACCCCCTCTTCTCTACTCAGTCTCCCATACTCCACCCACCACCATGACCCTACCCACCTTCTTCTCTTTCTTCTTCTCCTTCCGCGCCTTCTTTCTCTCCATCTCCTCCTCCTGCTGCTTCAGCAGCCGTAGCTCAAAGTCTGCACGGCACACAGGATGAGAGGGGATAGGGGGAGAGCACGAAGCAGGGGGCATGCAGCATGGGGGCATGCAGCATGGGAGCATGGAGCAGGGGAAGGAAAAATAGAGCATGGCAGGGACTTCAAAGGCCAGGTAAGGTTGGAAAATGAAAATGCTGCTGATAAGACAGCAGGTGGCAGGAGCAAGGGGAAACCCAGGAGGGTGGCAGCGACACCTGGTAAGCATTTACTGCGTGCACACACAATGGTTGCACCAGAGAAAGGTGCGAGAGTACAAGGTGGAGAGAGCTGGAGCTGATGCAACGAGGCGAATGTTGGAGCTAGAGCAAGGAGGCGGGGAATGTTGGAGCTGGAGAGGATGGGAATGTTGGAGCTGGAGCTGGAGAGGATGGGAATCTACAACCCGCCCCTCACCCCCCCCCCCACCCGTCTCCTCCCACCTTTGTCCACCCACGCACGCACCCTGCTCCGAGAACTGCCACTGCTGGTCCTTGAGCACAGCGACTCTGGTTTCCAACAGACTCACCACCCCACCCCCCCCCCACCCCACCCCTCTCCTCCCCCCCCTTCCCCCTCCACGCTCGTCCTTGCGCTCAAGGGCGCAACGAATCTGCCTTTGAGGCAACTCAAAACGACCCTTCCCTCCCCAACCCCCACCCTCCCTGCCCCACCTCCCTTCCCCATGCACGCACCCTGCTCTGTGAACTGGCGTTGCTCTTCCTTGCGCTTCTTGAGCACAGCGAATCTGCCCTGCACCTGCTCCAGGGACGACCGCTCCACCCTCATTGACATGCCCAGTGCACGCTGGTCTGCACATGTGGGCAACGGGGGGGAGAGGCGGGGGTGTGGAAAGGGGGGGGACAAGAGAGGAGAAACAGGATAGGTGGAAGGGATCAGAGCAGGCAGTGGAGGAAGGTCAGGAACGAGGGGCGCACCTGCCCTGCACCTGCTCCAAAGACAGCCGCTCCACCTCCACACACATCGATACACCCAGCACACGCTGGGCTGCACGCATTGAAAGGAGGAGGGGGGGGGGGGGAACAAAAGGGCGGAGGTGCCTGGGGAAGAGGGAGAGGAGGGAGGGAGAAAGGAGGGAGGAGGGGAAGAGAGGTCTAAGTGCAAGGGATGTGAGTGGGGAGTGAATTGGGACGGAGAAGAGGGGCAAGCTGGTGAGGCATGCGCTTGGTGCACAGAATAGTGCGGAGTGGAGGGGGAGATGAGGCGGAGATGAGGGGGAGATGAGGGGGAGATGAGGGGGAGATGAGGGGGAGATGAGGGGGAGATGAGGGGGAGATGAAGGGGAGATGCGGGGGAGATGAGGGGGAGATGAGGGGGAGATGAGGGGGAGATGAGGGGGAGATGAGGGGGAGATGAGGGGGAGATGAGGGGGAGATGAGGGGGAGATGAGGGGGAGATGAGGGGGAGATGAGGGGGAGATGAGGGGGAGATGAAGGGGAGATGAGGGGGAGATGCAGGGGAAATGAGGGGGAGATAATGGGGAGGTGAAGGGGAGATTATTTAAGGAGAGATCATGCGCCTCCCTCCCACCAACATGCCAAGCAGCTGCTGGCGTGTGAGTGAGGGAGAGACGGGGGGATGGGGGATGGGGGATGGGGGATGGGGGATGGGGGATGGGGGATGGGGGATGGGGGATGGGGGATGAGGGGATGGGGGATGAGGGGATGGGGGATGAGGGGATGGGGATGAGGGGATGGGGGATGAGGGGATGGGGGATGAGGGGATGGGGGATGAGGGGATGGGGGATGAGGGGATGGGGGATGAGGAGATGGGGATGAGGGGATGGGGGATGAGGGGATGGGGGATGAGGGGATGGGGGATGAGGGGATGGGGGATGAGGGGATGGGGGATGAGGGGATGGGGGATGAGGGGATGGAGGGGACAGTAGAGGCGAGGAGAAGTTAGGGCAGGGAGAGGAATTAAGTTTGGGAGATGCGAGCAATGCTCTTGACTCAACCGACTCGACTTGATTCGAGGGGCACAAACAAATCGGCCCTTCTCATGCCTAGTTGGTCCCATACCAGAAGAAAGAAGTGACTCACGTTTCTTGCCGTTGATGTGGTCCAGATAGTTGGCTGAATCCTTCACCACGCATTGACACACGTCACAGAAGTAACCTGCCTGGGGATGCACAGAGGGGGTGAGGTGTGTGGGAACGAAGGGGGGACGGAGGGGAGGGAAGGCAGAAAGAGAGAGAGGGGTAGTTGGTTGAAAACTTCACCACACGCTGACAAACGGCACAAAAAGGCCTACTTGGGGGTGCTGATGGGGGGCAGCAATGGGGGGGGGAGAAGGCACAAGGGACGGGGGGGAGGAGGAGGGGGGAAGGGGTGGGGGGAGCATGAGGGGGGAAGGGGGAAGGCAGAGAAGGAAACGGAATGGGCGGACCCTTTAGAGTGAGGTGGGTGTAAGGCCGCGAGGATGCACTGACTCAGGCGAACAAGGCAAGTGCAGCATGGACAGAGGAAGGGGAGAAAAGAACTGGCAGGGAGGGAATGAGAGACGGCAGAGAGAGCGAGACGGATGTGAACTGCGTGCTTTGGTGAAAAAGAGGGGGCCACACATGACAGCATGGCATGGTGAGAGAACTGCACTCCTGCCCTCCCCACCCTGTCACTTCCCCACCTTCCCACCTTTCCCCATCACTTCCCCTCATCTCCCTTTCACTTGCTGTGCATTCCAGCCTATGTCTAACCCCCGCCCCTCCCCGTTTCAACTTTCGATAGAAGAAAAACTGCCCCCACCCCTCCCCTCCCACCCGGTGCTCACCTGCTGGTTGAGAGCGGCTGTTGGCAGCACGACCTGTAGGCAGGCAGGGGGGGCACAAGATGGGTTGGGGAGACAGGGGGCGTGGTTGGGGATTTTAAGGCAGCTGAGAACTCATAAGGTGGGGAGACACAGGGGATGTCTGCGGTGACGGAGTGATGGAGGATGTAAAACGGAGCAGTGGACAATTGTCTAATTTCCCATTAATCTATACACACACACACGCACGCACTCAGGCCCTCCCCACACGTTCCTCGCTCTGCCCACCTGCGTGCGGCCGAGGTTGGACGATAGATCCACCTCAAAGTCCCTCTGCTTCAGGGGCGCCCGCGGCAGCGCTGGCGGGGCCGGACGACCTGCAGGCAGATAGGTGGGAAATGGGTGGGGATGGGCAGAGAGACGGATGGACAGATGAATGAACGGATAGAAGGAGAGAGAACAGGGACGGGAAAGGGGAAAGGGGCGGTGGGGGTGGGGGGAAGGGAGGGGAGGGAAGATGTTAATTGCGAGAGGAGTAGACGAGAGAGGAGGGAAAGCTTCAAGAAGAGGGATGCTAGACAAAGGAATAGGAGAAGATAGGGAAGGAAGGAGTAAGGAACGAAAGTGACGAGGTAAGACGTGGGTACGTAGAGATGGGATGAGAAGAGATGCGAGAGTACATACGTCGATGGCCTCCCTCCTCATCCTCCTCATCTTCCTGTAGAGCACCAACCACAACGCACAGAGCAGAACAGCACCACCACACTCAAGCACACGCACAATCCCGTCCCTCCCTCCCACGCCCTCCTCACCACCAAATCCCCCCTCGCCCCCCCCCACACACACAAAACGCACACATATTCATTCACATCAGTGTAAGTGAGATGACTTGGCAGCTATGGGCCTGCAGCGACACAGACTGTAGAACTGAAGCCATGACATGCGATGGAAAAAAAACACAAAAGGAGACATGAAATCACTATGGCATGGCATCACCCTCCACATCACCCTCGCTCCGGAGGCCATTGGGTCGACTCCAAAGTCATCTCAGTCCCATCGCAACATACGCCTGCCCGAGCCCTGCCATGTCCTGCCCTGCTGCCTAACAAATGCTCGCACGGCACACAACCTCGTCTCTGCCCACTCCTCAGCTCTCCTGCTGCCGCTCTCCATCCGAATCAAAGCCTCCAACCTTGCATCCTCGCGCTCTCCCTCCCTCACTCACTCCATCACTGCCCTATTTCCTCCTCTCTATCCCCCCCCTCCTCCTCCGCCCTCCCTCCTTCCCCTCCCTCACCCCATCCCGCTTCCCCCTACCCTCCCACCGCCCCCCCCCTCCCTCCCCTTCGCTTCCTCTCGCTTCTCCCTTTCTCCCTATCATCTACTGCCCCCTATCCCCCCTCTCCCTGCCTCCCCCCACCCCTCCCCGCCTTTTACCCTGCTCCCCCCACCTCGTCTCGCTCCCGCGCGCGTTGGATGTACTCCTCCTTGTCCCACTTCCGCCGGTGCGTGTCGTCCACTGGCGCTGACGCGGACGGCTGGTGGGGGGGGAAGGGAGGGGAGGGGAGGGGAGGAGAAGTGGGGAGGGGAGGGGAGGGGAGGAGTGGGGAGGGGAGAGGAGGGGAGGGGGGGAGGAGATGGGGAAAGTGGGGGGTGGATGGGGATGGAACGGCAGATAGGACGAGCGGACGGAAGAGTCCATGTTTGAGGTGCCTCAACGAACGAAATAGCAGGGGAGACGGACGAGAAAGTGAAAGAAGAGGGGACGAGGGCATGGTGGCAACGAGAGGTCGAGGAGGGGAAGGGCGAGCGAGAGGGATCGGACAAAGGCAGGTTGAGGAAGCAGGGACGTGACGAAACACAAGGGAATCAGTAGGCGATGTCGTAGACGAGTTTATAGACTGCGGGGGAGCAGGAGTAGGTGCCATGCGAGGTTGAGCGTGAGTGCTCGGCATCGGCTTGGTAACGAGGTAAGTAAGGACAGCAACGGAGGCGGAGCGACGAGCGGACGTGACGCGCGTGAAGCGCAAAGTGAAGCAGAGCCGAACGACATGCAAATCGAGATGCCAGGTTGCCGCCGCTTAACAGGCCGCTTAGTCTGCAATCCAGCACTAAGGAACCACGCGAGGCAGGGATTGCAAGGAATCCGCACCTTCGACATGGTTGGCGGTCGACCACGACGCGCGGTGGCTCAAGCGCAGGGAGGAGACGGAACGGCGACTCGCGTTCAAATCGCCTGAATATAAGTTGGTGCCGTGGATGGGTGTACTACTGCTGAACTAAGCTGCGAACAGGCTCTTTAGTGGAGAACACGTATTCCGTTCCCAAGAAATACCAGTAGTTGGCACCTGTCAGGGTTGCAGATGGACCGAACATACAACGTGTTATGAATTATAACTCAGAGTATAGCGCAGAATACTATAAGGGAACGTGATTCCAGAATCATCCTGAATAATGAGACCTAGGGCTTATATAGTGTGGGTTGACCAGGTCGAAATGTCGAGGGCTGGACCAGTCAAGGGCTCGGTCGTCCGAGGGTGACGGGGTCAAAACGGGCTCGGGGCGTTTCGGGGTCAGGTTGGGGCCGAAAAGGTCGTCGGGGGCTGGTTTGGCGCGATAACCCAGGCCCGAGCCTGCGGACCCGCACTGTTCGCGGTACTCGCTGTGGCGAGTCCCTGTAAGGAATCGGAATTCCTTACACAACGTGTACCAGAATCGCAACCAGAGCTATGGTTACATCTTTCCGTCAGTTCTGAACCAGAACGTGTTGAAATACCAATGCATCTGTGACACAAAGCCGAAACATTGTTTCACTCATGCCGTCTGCAGGCAGTCACTGATTGGCGCTCAACTTCGGATCCGAAGACGCACAGTCGCTGACAGAAGGTTCGACTTCATGTCATAAATAGCTAATTCGCAAGTGGGGCATTTATGGGGTGACGACAATGATGTCCCTCCTCCGTTTTAGGCTGTCCTAAAGATAATAAAAACAATAATAACAGATCACACCATAGAAAGGGTCCTTTTAGGGAAATATTAGTTTAACACTAGCAAAACATTCTTCGGTTATTGCAAGATTAAACTAATACATATGACTAGATGGCATAGTTACGGTACGATACCCGTGCATGAACCAGGTCGTTGCACATCCAGACCAGTTACCCAATTCAAAAATCAAAGGGCCCATCACCGCTTCTAAAGTGGACCTGGAGTAACAATCATTCCGGGGAACGCGTCCCTAACGAATCCTTCCACGTCTTCTGCTTGTGTCGCAATCCTCCGGAGGCACGTAAGGCCTTTGAGCCAGTTAACCCCTGCTGCAGTGATGTTAGCATCCCAAGACCCCAACGTCTCCAGGCGTTTCATATTCCTCAGATACTTCATGCCAGAGTCAGTCACTCCCGGAGGCAAAGTGAGGCTACTCAGTGAGGTGAGGGCAGTCAAGTGCTGCAGGCTATCCTCCCTCACTCCACTTTCATGGAGTGTGAGGCATTCAAGCGCTGTCAGTTTCCCCACGTGCACCATGCTGGCAGATGTGACAGACACACATCCACTGATGCCCAATCCTCTGAGTGCAGGCAATCGCAGCAGCTTCGTTATTCCCGCATCTGTCACTTTGGTGTCGTCCAGAGCCAGGGTGCGCAGACTCTTCAGGTTGTCAATGCCGTCAAGAGCAGCGTCCGTTGTGCTGGAACCTGCTAAATCCAGGCACTCAAGGCCGGTGAGAGAGAAGAGCTCCCTGATGCCTGCTGCTGTGAAGCCCGAGGATCCCCTGAGAATGACGGTCGTGAGCTGGTCGAAGGAAGCGAGGCGAGTGAGAGCAGCGTCAGTGAGGCAGGAGATGCCGCTGAGGTCCATGTGAGTCCCGTCTGGTACAGCAGCATCCCACACGGTGATCAGTGCCTGCACCCAGGTTCATAAAGCATCCAGGTACGTGAGAAAATAAACCTAGAGGGTTGAGTGGCAATTGGGCACAAAAACTTTGGGGACGTGAACCATCAGCCAATGAACTCGCTGCGTGTTTATGCGTGCCGCATGCATGCATACATGCTCTCATGCGTGCCACATGCATGCCCTTACGCGTGCCGCATGCATGCGTCTCCACAAAATAGCCGCCTTAATCACTCTAGCATGGGCGCACAGGACTCCAAACCACCCGTGCACCCACCTCCCATATCTTCTTTCCGTCGCAGCTTGTCCGCAAGAGCTTGGCCACTCCTTGTGTCAGCGCATTCACGGCCTTCCTCAGTTCCTGCAGGTGCGTCTTCGTCACGCGCTCCACAGCATTCCTCATCTCCTGCGACTCGCCCTCCACTTCTTCGTTCTTCCGCTTCCCATCACCATCTGCAGCAGCACCGGAATCACCGAGAAGTGCGCAACCGCCCGCAGCAGCACCGGAATCCGCCATCTCGACCTCCTTCTCCCCCCTCCTCCCTCTTCCGCCGTTTCCCCTCGCGCATCTCCGCCCCTGCATGCTTCCCCCCGCTTCCCCCGCGCCTCGTCTCCCGCGCGTCCTTCAGGTCCGCCAGCGCCAGCTCCACGTCGTTCATCCGCGCCTCCGAGTGCGCCGCAGTCGCGCGCACATCCGCCACCTCCGCCGCCTGCCTCTTTATCGCCTCCCCCAATCGCGCCACCTCCGCCGCCTGCCTCTCCCCCGCTGCCCGCGCTCGCGCCACCTCCGCGCACAGCTCGTTCGCCGCGCCCCTCGCCTCCGCCCTCGTCGCCCGCACCTGTCCCCGCAACCCCTCCGCTTGTGAGTCAAGCTCGTACCGCGCGCCCTTCACCCGCTCCGCTATAAGCCCTTCCACCAGCGCTAGAAGCTCGACTCGCGCGCCCATCGGCGGGAGCTCCCCCGCAATACCGCCCGCCCCTGCCTCTTCTACCTTCCCTGCCGCGCCACTCGCAGCGCCTTCCTTGATCCCTTCTCTCCCCGTCTCCCACGGCCCCTTCGCCGCCCACGCCATGGCGCGCCGCATGTCGTGCATCTCTCGATTCAATGCGCCCATCGCCTCGACCTGCTGCCTCAACGTCGCCTCCAACTCCGCCACTCGCTCCGCCATCATCCCTCCTGCTGTGACGCTGATTTCTCCCGCCGTCGCCTCCTCAGGGTGCACCTTCACGACCACTCCGTTCAGCCTCAGCTCCACGCCTCCCGTCATCGCCGTTCGCTAACGCTTGCGACCGTTTGAATGTAAAACTGTGGAAGCGCAGCAAAGCCAGAAGGACGTATGTGGAGCTAGATGGTTTGAAACTGGGAAGACCGATGGCAGAAGTGGGTTTCCACATCTGCTGTAATGCTCGTCGCCTGCACGCAACGTCCCCTTCACAGACCTGACACAAGCTACCGTAGCTGAGCTGACCATTACCCTCGAGGTTGAGCCTCAGGCTTAAAACCCCACGGCAAAATCACGCCACTCTGCACAGGCTACTGCGCACTGGGGTTACTGTGCAAATTCCTACAGCTATCCCCAAAGTGGCACCACCCTCTCCGCACAAACGCCTTGCACACAAATGCAGTCTTGGCAGGCCTCACCCGCATCAGCCTCTCCCACATAGCCGCCCTCTCCCCCTCCCACCCTCTCTTCGCCTCCTCAAACGAGTCCTCCTCCAAAAACACCTTGAGGTGCAGGTGCGGCAGGTTGCGGTACGACCCGTGGTTAACCACCATGCGGGAGCAGACCACCTTCTCCTGCTGCACTGCAGCAATAGCAGTGTGAAAGAACTCGTATAGTTCACTATCGTCCAGGTCCACTAGGGATTCCACGTGCCGCACGGGGGTTATGATCAGCCCGGCTCGGCCCTGTGCGTCCAGGGACACTCGCACGTGTGGCTGGTCTGCCTCGTACTCACGCAAGATCAGGTCTCCTGATGTCATCACCGCATCAACGTCCCCCCCTGCTGCAGCTGCTGCTCCTGTCGCCCGTGCGCCATCCTCTCCCCCCTGCACCTCGTTCTCACGCCCATGCTGTTGCGCATCACATGTCTCCTCACCCTCCGCCTTTCCACCAGCCCCCGATTCGCCCGACCTTGTACCCCCTACCGGGCCCACCCCCTGCGCGCCTCTTCCTGGCTCTCCACCTGCGTCTACACCTGCCCTTGCCCCAGCATCCGCGCCCGCGCCCGCGCCCGCGCCAGCGCCAGCAGCAGCGGGGAAGAGCGGAGCGAGGGGGTTACAGGCGATGCACCCGTGCGGCACGTCTACCGCCACGGGCCCCTCGTGCTCCTCCCCAAACATCACCTCCACCACAAACGGCCTCTGTGCATGCCCGCCGTCGCCGCCGCCGCTGCTGGCCCCTGGCGGAAACCCCCCGTCCGCCCGACCCTCCCTGAACGGCGGACCCCGGCCCGAGTGCGGGGAGCCATAGCGACCGCTGCCCCTGTCATGTCCGCGCCCCCCTCCGCGCCCCCCTCCGGGCCCCCCTCCGCGGCCCCCTCCGCGCCAGTGCGTCGGCTGCTCGCCAGCGATCCGCAGGTGGAAGTCGCGCAGGCTTCGCGTCGCCAGGTCGCGCAAGAGCTCGCGAAAGAGGCTCGCGACGTCGCACGGCGGGCTGCGATCCAGGAAGGCGAGGAAGTCGATCGCGTGGTGCGGGAGGAGAGGGTGGTAGGCTAAGTGACCGGGCCGCCGCTGCTCGCAGCGGAGAAGCTGAGGGGGGGACGGAGAGGGCGGATGGTTACTGGACGGGGGATAGGCAGCGGAAGGAGGGTAGTTAGAGGAAGGAGGGTAGTTAGAGGAAGGAGGGTAGTTAGAGGAAGGAGGGCAGTTAGTAGGAGGAGGATAGTTAGTGGAAGGAGGATAGGCAGTAGAAGAGTGACAGTTAGTCGAAGAGGGATAGTTAGTGGAAGGAGGGTAGTCAGTGGAATGGCTATAATTAGTGGAAGTGGGATAATAAGCGGAAGGGGGATAGTTAGTCGAAGCGGGATAGTTGTTGGAAGGGGGGTAGTTAATAGACGGGGGATAGTCAGAAGAAGGCGGCGAGGGCCTGATTGCCGGCGACGGCCTCGGACTGGCGGCATCGCTGCCGTCGTAGAAATATCCAGCTGCGTGCGAGGGCTTGCGCTTCGACATGCGTGCAGCAGGCGAGGGGGCTCGTGAGTGGTTCCCGAAGTAGATTCGCACGATTCCGGAATCCGTCGGGCGAGATTCGGAGCGCGAATCTCCGATGATTGGTGCTACTATATAGACGCAACTGCGCTCTGCACTAAACGCCTGGGTTCAGCCAAAATCTCCACCAGAGATTGGTGATGTTTTTGCCTGACGAAAGGGCGCCAGGCAAAAGGAGGGGAGGGCTGGCAGGAATCTGGATGAGATTGCAACTCACTGCTCCGCTAGAAAATTACTCTTTTCAACCGTTCGCTGACATGCTATACCCAGTAATTACATCTAGATGCACCAACTGTAGCTTAGAAACTAAAACCGAGCCTACGGTATGGCCTTCATCCACCCTCCTTACTGAAAACAGTTCCCTATCCAACCAACCTGTAATATCTTGACACGCTTGTGTATAAAACAATGTCACTGAAACCGACAACCTAGCTTTCTCTATCAAAGTGAGAACTGAATGATGAGTAGAGGGAGAGTACAAATGAATACACCTAAGTATTGTACCCTCTAAGAGGTGGCCCTATACAGTCTATGCAAACATAGGAGATACACATGTTTGACACACCCCCTAGACTGCATAGGGGCAGGTCCTGAACAAGCAGCTCGGGGCGGCACTATTAGTCCAGCCTCTGAGACAAGGGTCTAAAAGACCAGTCAGAAGGAGTACACACAAGGCAAGAACAAGACCAGGGCGGCACTACTAGTCCAGCCACAGGAAGAGGACACAAGTCCAGTCTGAGTACACATATAAAGGACAGTACAAACTCAAGGCCCTAGCAAGTGAGAGGCTACAAGAACTAGACCAAGCTGTACACAGTGCCGCTGATGATCTTTAGGCGCAAGCGCCTTCGTAAGATATCAGCTGTGTTGGCACCTAAGGCCAAGTGTACTACGCGAGCCAGGCGTCGCTGCTGTAGCTCGCGCAGGAGGAAGTACCGCAGCTGAATATGCTTCGCTCTGCCCTCGAGTCGAGGCTCCTGACACAGGAGGATCACGGCCCTGTTGTCAGCGAACAGGACCCGGGCAGAGCTAGGCCGCTCACCTAAGTCAGTGAGCAAGAAGGTCAGCCTGCGGAGCTCCTGTGCCGCCATGGCACCAGCGTAGATCTCGGCCTCACAGCTGGACTGCGCAACAGACGAGGAGCGGGTAGCTCTCCACGAGACTGCACCTGAACCAAGGCTAAACCAGTAGCCCTGGGTAGACCTGAGTGTCTCGGCGTCGTCTGCCCAAGAAGCGTCTGTGTGTCCAGTAAGGACCACTGGCCCACGTCCTCCTAGCACTAACCCCATGCCTGATATACTAGCAAGATAACGCAAAACCCTCTTAGCGGCAGACCAGTGCTGAGGTCGGTGTCTGCCTGTGGCCACAAAGCGAGCCAGGATGCTGAGAGGGTATGCGAGATCTGGGCGAGTGCAAGTCATCAGGTACATGAGGCAACCCACCATCTCTGTGTAGGGGCCGATGGGCTCTACCGACTCCTCAGAAACTGGAGCAGAGAGTCTGTGGTCTAGAGGCAGAGGGGTGGGCTGTGCAGAGGAGAACTGAAGGCCGAACCTCTGAAGGACCTGGCGCACCAAGTGTGATCGAGTCAGGGTGATGGTGCGCGCTGCTCTGTCCCTGGAGATCTGCAAGCCAAGGTAACGGCGCAGTTCTCCAAGGTCAGTGCACGTGTGTCTCTTCAGCAGCTCTGCCTTCACTGAGGCCAGTGCGTCCCTGTCTGCTGTGGCGAAGACCAGGTCGTCGACGGAAACAAGGATGTAGAACGGAGTCTGGCCAGCACGAACGAAGAGTGAGGGGTCTGCGGAAGACGGAAAGAACTGCACGTCAGCAAGGGTAGTACGCAACGTGTCGTGCCACTCACGGGGAGCCTGGCGAAGGCCGTAGACGGGGCGCCGCAGGAGCCACTGGGTCCCAGGAAGGAAGGTGCCAGTAAAGCCCTGAGGGCGACGCAAGTAGACCTGCTCGTGTAGGCTACCCTGAAGGAAGGCAGTGGAGAAGTCGAGGGAGTGAAGCTCGTAGTCACGCTGAGTAGCTAGGTGTAACAGCACCCGAAGAGTAGTCATCTTCGGGGTCGGAGCAAAGGTCTGGAAGAAATCCACCCCCTCACGCTGACTGAAGCCTCTAGCCACGTAACGCGCCTTGAATACTGGCGGCTCTCCAGGAGGGCGCTTCACCTTGAAGAGCCAACGGCCATCGACTACGTTCACCCCAGGTGGGGGAACTGCGTCGACGAAGGTGCCGGTGGATCTCCAAGATGCTCCATGGCAGCTATCCACTGCGAGGCCCAAGGTCCCAAGGTCGCCTCAGCGTAAGTGCGAGGGGTCGAGATGTCGAAAGCGTCTGGGTCACCCTCAGGGACTAGCAGCATGGAACAGAGATGGGGAGCAGCCTCGGACAGGAAAGCAAGCTCGAACTAGAGGTCCTCCAGGACGTCACTGCTGAGGGCAGGAGCACCCCCGACAGACGGAGGACAGGCAAGGTCAGAGACCAGAGCGGTGGCATAGTCAAGGCGGCGGGTAGAGGCAAAGTCAGCGACCGCAGCTACCAGAGCGTCAAGGCACGAGACCGCAACAGACGGGTCGGTAACGAGAGAGGCAAGGACCCGAGGAACAAGAGGACGAGCGACACGAAGGTAGTCAGACAGAGGGGGGGATGCAACAATAAGGGAGGACGGAGGAGGCGACGGGAGAAAGGGAGGACGAGACGCGTGGGAACGAAGCAACATAGGGTGGGAGCGCAAGACAGGGGAGGCAGGACGAGCACGGGAGGGACGGCAAGACCAGACGTGAGACGGAGGAGTCGGGTCAGGAGACAGGGGAGGGGACACAGGGGGGGAATGAGGAGAAGACGAGCCGGGGACGAGTCCGGCGGAGGGAACACAGGGCCGTACACGGGAAGAGGAGGAGACGGCCGGAGAGGAACAGACGCAGGGTCAGGGGACGGAAGGCCAAGCAGGCGAAGGGCTGACACCGGCGGGGACTGGTGCTGCGGCGGCACAACGCCGACACCGGGACCGCAAGCTGCTCCGCGGCTACCACCGGCACACTCCACGCCAGCACCCCCAAAGGGAACACCTCCAGGGCCCGAAACCCCTCGAGGACCGATACCACCCCCAGGGGTACCGAGACTAGCACGCACTCCAACGCCAGCACCCCCAGAGTCAACAAACGGGTGCTGCGACAGCGGCGGCGGCGGCAGCGACAACGACGGCGGCGGCGGCGGCGGAGGTGACAACGGCTGCGACAGCAGGGGCGACAGCGGCGGTAGAGGCGGTGGAGGAGGGGACGCTTGGGGAGGGGCAGCCGGCGAGGACTGCGCCGCAGGACCACCAGAGTCAGAAGACTCCTCAACCGGGACCACCAACGGAAGAGGGGTGACGTGGGACACACTAGAGGGGGCAGGACGGGGAAGAGGAGGAGGAGGGGCAGGGACTAGCGAGGAAGGAGTGACCAGGAACAGGGGGGGGGGTAGCCGGGGGACCGCGGTGGGGGAAGCGACGGTAGTAGGAGACGCACTCGTCAAAGGTGACGTCGCGAGAGTGAAAGAAGCGGTGAGACGGCGGGTGGTAGAAGTGCCAGTCGGACGCGTCAAGGTGAAAACCGAGGAAGACGCAGGGAAGGGTGCGGGCAGTGAGCTTGTCCGTGCCGGAGGCACGGACGTGAGCAAGGCAGCCCTAGACGTGGAACGCAGACGCGTCACCAGGAGACCTAGTCCAAAGACGGGTCGGCGAAACCTGCGGCTGCTGGGGGTGCGGCCACAGGTTAAGCTAGCGAGAAGCGTAGCGCACAGCGAACGGCCACAGAAAATAGGGTGCACCGGCATGGATCATGGAGGTGCGAGCCACCTCCATAACCAAACCGATGCGTCGCTCAGCGACCCCATTCTGCTGTGGGGAGTCCGGTAGGGTGAACGTCTGGATGATGCCCTTCGCACGACAAAAGCGACCAAGGACACCTGAGGCAAACTCGCCAGCACGGTCGGAGTGAAGGTGCAAGACAGGGAGACCTCGGTGGACACGGGCAGAGACAAGCCAGGGGATGAGAGCAGCAGGCACGTCGGCCTTCCGCTCCAGGGGAAAGACCGAGGTGTAGCGAGTGTAATCGTCGACAAGCACAAGTAAGTTGCGCTCTCGACGCGGCCCATGGACGGGGGCGGGGCCCCAGACGTTCATGTGCAGGGTCTGCAGCGGCGTGGCGGTAGGGGGAAACGAGGAGGAGTGAGGGGCACGGCAAAGCCGACCCTCAACGCAAGGCGTGCAAGGTGGGGCTGGGGAGGAGGGAAAAGCGGGGAGAGAACCAGGGAGACCAAGGACGAGACCGTGCTGGGACATGTGACGTAGACGCGGGAGCGCAGGGTGACCTGGCAGGCGCGGCGGGGCCAGGCAGGCGCGGCGGGGCCAGGCAGGCGCGGCGGGGCCAGGCAGGCGCGGCGGGGCTAGGCAGGCGCGGCGGGGCCAGCCAGGCGCGGCGGGGCCAGGCAGGCGCGGTGGGGCCAGGCAGGCGCAACGGGGCTAGGCAGGGCGCGACGGGGCTGGGCAGGGCGCGACGGGGCCAGGCAGGCACGGCGGGGCCAGGCAGGCGCGGAGGGGCCAGGCAGACGCGACGGGGCCAGGCAGACGCGACGGGGCCAGGCAGGGCGTGACGGGGCTAGGCAAGGCGCGACGGGGCCAGGCGGGCGCGATGGGGCCAGGCAGGGCGCGACGGGGCCGAGCGGGCGCGACAGGGCCAAGCAGGGCGCGACGGGGCTAAAAGGCGTGACGGGGCCCAGGAGGGGCGCGACGGGGCCAGGGGGGCGCGACGGGGCCCAGGAGGGGCGCGACTGGGCGAGGGGATCGCGACGGGGCCAGGGGGGCGCGACGGGGCCCAGGAGGGGCGCGACGGGGCCCAGGAGGGGCGCCACTGGGCTAGGGGGTCGCGACGGGCCCAGGAGGGGCGCGACGGGGCCTAGGAGGGGCGCGACGGGGCTAGGGGGTCGCGACGGGGCCAGGGGGGGCGCGACGGGGCCCAGGAGGGGTGCGATGGGGCTAGGGGGGCGCGACGGGGCCAGGATTCGCGACAGGGCCCAGGAGGGGCGCGACGGGGCTAGGAGGCGCGACGGGGCCCAGCGGGAAGCGGCGGGGCCTAGCTAGGGTACGGGCGGAAGTGGTAGGTGGGGGATCCTAACCTACGCGTGATACCATATCAAAGTGAGAACTGAATGATGAGTAGAGGGAGAGTACAGGTGAATATACCTAAGTGTTCTACCCTCTAAGAGGTGGCCCTATACAGTCTATGCAAACATAGGAGATACACATGTTTGACATTCTCAACGACTTCACAAATCACGATTCAAGAATGTATCATGTCTTCACATAGGAGAGAATCCTCGCAGGACGAGAGTCTCAAGCCCGCTCTAATTCTCTTAATATCTTCTGAGAAGGAGGATGCATGCGTTCCTTGAAACACATCCGCCATCGCACATATGGCCTTATCTAGTGTAGCTCGCACTGTTACCGCATCTTCAAATTGTAACGGATTGATGACGTCCGCCCATGGATGGGAGTCTAACGTTTCAGGCAGTCTCAAAAGCTGAAAGCTTGGAATCCACTCTTTAATGAAGTGTACGAGCTCATTCACCTGGGAAGAAAATGGCACCATACACACCAGAGCACAAGTCTGCAGTATGACAACCAAGACCAGGGTGCAAAACACAGCAACCCAGACAGTCGATGCTTGTTGCCCCTCCTGTCCCCTCCTCCTTGGTGGCTGTCATGTTCCCTCCCAACCACTCAACTCTGCCCGTCTCCAGACCCCCCTCCCCCCTCTTCCCCAGCGCAACTTGAATTGCATTCAAATTTAGAGGCACGACGATTCAATAGTCATCCATCCTGTCAGCGCACGATCATGCGCTTCTAGCTTGAATGGGCCAGCAAAGAACAGCATGGCAGCAGCGGCTTCCAGTTTGCCGCACTGCAAGGCAGCCCCCCCTCTCACCCTGACAGCCGCCAAGGGCTAGAAAGACTGAGGACCATAGGCCCATAGGACCATAGCACCATAAGACCGAAAAAAACATTTTATCTCAGGCACCCTTTAAGTTTTGTTTCATCACTCATGCTCCCAGGCACGCCATGGCACGTTGTCCTGTCCAACTGCATGCAAGACCCCCTTATAGAATGCCCTTCCCTTGACTTGACCACACAGCTGTGCCCCCAGTTGCAACACCTGACTTCAGCCAAAACCAAACACAGCAAACAATCAATCAACACAGCACGCAAGCAGGCACATACGCCCGTCTCACCTCTCCCTGCTCTGCATCTGTAGCCAGGAACATCCTCGTGATGTTGCCCTACAGCCCCATGCGCTGCACCAGGCAATGACGCACACAAGCCAGAACACGAGCAGGCCCACACGTTCTCATCGTCTCACCTCTCCCTGCTCTGCGTCTGTAGCCAGGAACATCCTCGTGATGTTGCCCGACAGCGCCATTCGCTGCACCAGGCACTTCCCCACGCGCGCCACTGGCAGGTGCACCCAGGGGTCCTTGGACAGCCGCACCAGGTCCGTCCTCCTCCAGTGCACCGCTATGTACCGCGCAACACCTACTGATTCCTCCTCTGTACTGTTGCCTACTGCCCACAGCGTCTTGTTGCTCGCTCTGCTGCTTTCACTGCTCGAATCGAGGCTTCCCGGGCTACTAGCAGTTTCAGTTGTTTTGCTCTCCCCGGTGTTCCCTTCCCCGCTATCCCCATCCCGCTCCCACCACCGCTTCTTCCCAGGGAGTATCACGCTCGAAACGAACCGGTCCGCAGCTTCTAAGATCGCCGGGTGGGGGTGGATGGCAAGCGTGTTTGGGCAGCCGGGGCGGGTGAAGAAAGGAACGTCCATACCCCGGGGCCCCTCCAGGTTAAGAGCTGCGAGATCCCCTAGCAGGATGATGCGCGCCGAGGGGGGAATGAGCGACGAGAGGTTGGTGAATGCCCGTGTGTCTATGGTGCCGGGAGGGAGGGTGACCGTGGTGATGGTGAGATTGGGAGAGTAGGAGAGGCCTGGGAGGTCCGGGAGGTGGTCCGGGGAGCCCCAACCTGGTTGGTTGTAGCAGGGCTCTCGAATGCAGATGACCTGGTCTATCACTGCCATGCTGCTGCTGCTGCTGCTGCTGCTGGCACTGCCATTGCCCGTTTGCATACTGCTGCTGAGAGTCCCGTTGCCCCCAGCACCATCTCCCACGCTCCCTCCACGCACCTCTTCCCCTCCCTCCACCGCCACCGCCCCTCCAACCACCTTCCCTTCCTCCTCCCCCTTTGATCCCCCTTCCCCTCCCCCATTCCCACCCCTCTCCTCTTCCCCAGCCCCTCCCCCGCCATCCCCCCCAGCCCCTCCCCCCCCACTCATCTCCAGCAGCTGACCCCAGGAGATAACTGAGAGCGGGCCGTAGCAGCGCTGGGTGTGTGCGAGGTGCAGGAAGGCGTGGCGGTCATAGTGGCGCGGCACGTCGCGCGCGCACATGGGGACTACCAGAGTGCGGTTGAGCATGCCCGCTGCTATCATGGAGTGCCGCATGCACCGCACCCGGTTGCTCAGCTGCGGGGAGAGGAGTGGGGGGAGGGGAGAGCAGAAGGGGGGAGCGGGGAGCAGAGGAGGGGAGGATGGGAGTAGGGGAGGAGGGGAGGAATGCTGGGGGTTGAAGCGAAGGGATATGTGTGGAAAACGGCTGGGAAACAGTGTGATGGATTGGAATGCAGGGGAGGAGAGGGAGGAAAGGAGGAGGGGGGGATGCTGGGGCATGATTGGCGCATCCCCCTGTATTCAGCATGCATGCACCCTTCCTAACCTGCCCCAATGCCAACCTGCCCCCCTGCCATCCCCCCCATCGCACCTGGTGCTTGTGGCAGTCCATGAGCACGAATCGGTCGGGCTGTGGTGCCCATGTGAGCTGCCCCTCGCGCCACCCGCCCCGGTACACCAGCTTGAACTCGCTGCATGCACCGCTCTCCACCTTGGCATGTTCCTCCGCCTCCTTCTGCTGCAGGGACACATTGCGACCCCTGCCGGTGCAGGCGGTGGGTTGTGGGCAGGGGTGGGGGGTTCGGTTATAGCAAGCACCTGGGTGAGGTACGGATATGCGTATGAGTCTGCATGTGCACCGAGCTCAGCCTTGGCACGCTCCTCCGCCTTCTTGTGCTGCTGGCACACATGTTGGTGGGGGGGTGGTGGTGGTGGTGGTGGTGGTGGTGGTGGTGGTGGTGGTGGTGGTGGTGGTGGTAAGGTTGGCGTTGGTGGTGGGGGCGGTGTTGGTGGTGGGAAAGACGAGCATGGCAGAGAGCAGGACTACGGAGGAAGAACATTGAGCATCGAGCATGGGGAATGTTGCAGGTTGCCATTTGCAGCAGCGGAGGGCGCGGACAGGCATAGACGCTCTAGGCCTACTCATCCACCCACACACCCGCCCACACACCCACCCATCTCCGCACCTATCTAGCTATGTAGCAATCCAGCGTGGCGCACTAACAAGTGACGGGGTTGCCGTGGTTGCCAGGGACGCACCAGTCTTGTCTGATTGGCAGTGGAGGGGCGGTGCCAGGCGGCACTGACAGTGCTGCTGCTGCTGCTTGTGGCAGTGCTGAGTCGCTGCTGCTGCTAAGGCCAGCTGCACTAACGTGTGCATCCACTGCAGCAGCAGCAGCTCTTCCAGGGTGCGCCACATCTGAATCTGCTGCCGCCGCTGCTGGTGCTGCTGCTGCTGATGCGGCTGCAGGCGCTGGTGTGGGCGCAGGGGCAGGTGCCGTGGCAGAGGCCATGGCATGGGCCACTGGCGCTTCCACATGAGCTGCTGGCGGCATCGCTGCAACCGCTGCCGCATCCGCGCTCTGCTTCCCATCCATTGCAACGCTCTCCATGCCACCAGTACCACCAGTTAACCCTGCTGCCTCACCGCTCTGCACGCCATTGCGCTGCGCGACTCCGCCTTCTCCCCCCCCTCCACCCGCGCTAGCTCCTCCTCTAGAGCCTCTACTCGCCCCACCACCGCCACCCCCGTCTCCACCTCCTCCGCCAACCGCCTCCCGTTCCCAAGGCGCATTCCCCCCACGCGCGTCTCCTCCACCTCCGCCAGCCGTCTGCCCCCAAAGCTCCGCCCGTTCCCCACGCTCGCCTCCTCCGTGCGCGCGCCCCCCTCGCCAGGCGCTTCTGCGCCCAGCGGACCTTCCGCGCGCCGCGATGCCAAGTAGGAGTCCACCAGTCGCTGCATTGCGGGACTCCCGGATTCGATTTCGTGGCATGGCTGATTGGCTGCTATGCGGCTGCCGACGCTGCTGCGGCTGCTTCTCGTTCTGGGTACTCCTGTACTCGTTAGCGGCGGATTCGGTAAGACGTCGAACGAGGCGGAAGGCGATTGAAAGTGTTGTGGATGGCGAATCTCTTTCGGAGACCTGCATCTTCTTTTCGGTTTCTCGAAGCGGCGAAGTGGCCGTCCAGGCTCCGAAGTACTAGTAGCGCGTGCGTGACCTGAAGAGACGACATAAAACGCAAGAAGAGTCGCGAGGAGAACCGCCGCGACCGCGTCGAGCCATGGCCGCCGCATTACACGGCAACCGGCGCCGCGCCGTCGGAAGTTTCGTCTGGGGTGCATGCCCGTCACACGGGCTTTAGGACGCGAGGCCTGGCGAGGGCGCACACACATGCCAGTACGCATCCACTCCACACGTGAGATGCTAGGGAGCTGTTCGCCTGCACAATTTTCGAGGAAGCGCATGGGTATTGGGGGCCTCGGAAGGTCCCACGAGCTGGGATAGGTCACAATGCGACCAGTGACGTCAGCCTGCGATTTCAAATTCAGGCTTGTTGATGTCCGAACTGGGCCCAAAAATCGCAATGCCTCTCGTGCCATCTCCCTCGATTGCTACAGTGAACCGCCCACTACCACCCCTCAAAACACCCGTGCTCCACAATGCCTCTCAATACCACCAAATACAAGTCATATTCCCTGAGCACCCTGGGGGCGACGCGATAGATTTCCCTTTTAACGAATACTGGCCGTACGATAGGGGCAACGTGGACTATGGGGTTGTCCCAGGAAATGGGGCGTTGTTTCTTGTGTACTGTGCATGGGCAGCTTGACTGGTGTATGCAGCGACTTTGTAAACATCGCCACGTCGCAAGCCTCTCCACCTGTGTATCAACTCCGCGTTTCAAGCAGGTCTCTCGATAACCTAGGGGTCACCCTGCAGAATCCGAGTTTGCCTGGGATCCAACTCTTCCAGGCTGGGTATCCCTAAAACTTTTGACTGTTTTTGCAGGCATGAGTTTCGCTCTGCTCGGAATGTGCCACTCCTGACAATGACAGGGGAGCCATTTTTTTCTAGGGGTGCGAACTTTTACATTAGATTTTTCAGGGTGAGTCCATCCCCTACTAAAAAATCGGCCGTCAAAATTTCACCATGCCTTGACAAAGCAGTGTAATTAGACTGACTTCCAGAGGCATGGTTTCAAAAGTGTTAGACTCATTGACGCGCTCCTTGGCGCGTTCCTATTGGCTGTGGATAGACGGATTTTCCTGGGGCAACGCCGACAGATTTCGTCGGCGTTGCAGGCCTAATTCTACTGGACCGTCAGCGAGCTGTTGGATTTCTGCATCGACATAGGTTGGCGAGCCTGACACATCTGGATTTTTAGAGGTTCGCCGACCACTAAGAGTGGTTGTTAGAATAGAAGAATAGACTAGAAAGGGAGAGTACAATGTAATATAACCTAGAAGCTGTACCCTCTAAGACACAAACCTATACAGTCTATACAAACATAACAATATATGTTTGACACACCCCCTAGACTGTATGGGAGCAGTTCCTAACGAGAGAACGAGCAGCCCAGGGTGGCACTACTAGTCCGACCTCTGAGGCAAGGGTCTAAAGACCAGTCAAACAAGTACAAACACAAGCCAAAAGCAAAACCAGGGCGGCACTACTAGTCCAGCCACTGGAAGAGGCCACAAGGCCAATCAGAATAAAATATATAAAAGGTCTGTACACAGTCAAGGCCCTAGCAAGTGAGAGGCTACAGAAACAAGACCTAGCTGTACACAGTGCCGCTGATAATCTTTAGGCGCAAGCGCCTTCGTAAAGATATCAGCTGTGTTGGCACCGGAGGCCAAGTGTACTACGCGAGCCTGGCGACGCTGCTGTAGCTCACGCAGGAAGAAGTTTCGCAGCTGGATATGCTTCGCTCTACCCTCGAGTCGCGGCTCCTGACACAGGAGGATCATGGCCCTGTTGTCAGCGTACAGGACCGGGGCAGAGCTAGGCCGCTCACCTAAGTCAGTGAGCAAGACGGTCAGCCAGAGGAGCTCCTGTATCGCCATGGCGCCGACGTAGATCTCGGCCTCACAGCTAGACTGGGCAACAGACGAGGAGCGCGTAGCTCTCCACGAGACAGCACCTGGACCAAGGCTAAAGCAATAGCCTTGCGAGGACCTAAGGGTCTCGGCGTCATCGACCTACGAAGCGTCTGTGTGCCCAGTAAGGACCACTGACCTGCGCCCTCCTAGCACTAGCCCCATGCCCGATGTACTTGCAAGATAACGCAAAACCCTCTTAGCGGCAGACCAGTGCTAAGGTCGGTGTCAGCCTGTGGCCACAAAGCGAGCCAGGATGCTTAGAGGGTATGTGAGATCTGGGCGAGTGCAAGTCATCAGGTACATGAGGCAACCCACCAGCTGTGCGAAAGGGCCACTGGGTTCTACTGACTCCTCAGGAACTGGAGCAGAGAGCCTGTGGTCTACAGACAGAGGGGTGGGCTGTGCAGAGGAGAACTGAAGGCCGAACCTCTGAAGAACCTGGCGCACCAAGTGTGACTGAGTGAGGGTGATGGTGCGCGCTGCTCTGTCCTTGGAGATCTGCAAGCCAAGGTAGTGGCGCAGCTCTCCAAGGACAGTGCACGTGTGTCTATTCACCAGCTCTGCCTTCACCGAGGCCAGTGCGTCCCTGTCTGCAGTGGCGAAGACTAGGTCGTCTACGTAAACAAGGATGTAGAACGGAGTCTCGCTAGCACGAACAAAGAGCGAGGGGTCTGCAGAGGACGGAAAGAACTACACGTCAGCAAGGGTAGCACGCAGCGTGTCATGCCATTCACGAGGAGCCTACTGCAGGCCGTAGACGGGGTGCCGCAGGAGCCATTGGGTCCCAGGAGGGAAGGTACCAGTGAAACCCTGAAGCCGGCGCAGGTAGACCTGCTCGTGTAGACTGCCCTGAAGAAACGCAGTGGAGAAGTCGAGGGAGTGAAGCTCGTATTCACGCTGAGCTGCTACGTGTAGCAGTACCCGAAGAGTAGTTATCTTCGGGGTCAAAGCGAAAGTCTGAAAGAAGTCCACCCCCTCACGCTGACTGAAGCCTCTAGCCACGTAGCGCGCCTTAAACACAGGCGGCTCTCCGGGAGGGCGGTTTACCTTGAAGAGCCAGCGGCCATCGACTACGTTCACCCCAGATGGGGGAACTGCGTCCACGTAGGTGCCGGTGGATCGCCAAGATGCCATTTCCTGCTCCATGGCCGGTATCCACTGAGATGCCCAAGGTCCTGAGACCGCCTCAGCGTAAGTGGGAGGGGTCGGGATGTCAAAAGCGTCTGGATCACCCTCAGGGACTAGCAGCATGGAATAGAGATGGGGAGCAGCCTTGGACTGGAAAGCAAGCTCGTACTGGCGGTCCTCCAGGACGTCACTGCCGAGGGCAGGAGCACCCCTGATAGACGGAGGACGGGCAGGGTGAGAGACCAGAGCTGTCACAGGATCGAGTGTGTCGAGGAAAGATTGCACTATCGATCAGTACAAGGCGCTTTTATACTTCCAGAGTACATCAGGTAACCAGGTTTATCTTATCCTAGCGGAATAGACCCTTCTAGAAGATAGAATCACCCTGCGTATAGCCACGCGAGGCTATTGGCTTTAAGGGATTACTGCAGGATTACGCTAGATAGAGCGCACCAGTACATCCCAAGCCTGGTCGGTGATATAATTATAATAGCAGGATAAACCAAAGGTTAATGGCCAAGGAAGAATAGGAAACCAAATGAGATGGAATAAAAGAGAAATGAAAAAGAAAGGAAATAAGAAAAGGCCAAGTGGTATAACGGGGTCGTACTCTCACACTCCCCCCCCTCAAAGCTGGGTGGTAGAAGTAACACCCTGCTTGACAAGGTAGTCATGCAGAGGACGACGGGCGTTACCCATGTCGGACTCAGGTACCCAGCTATCCTCAGAAGGATCACAACCCTTCCAATGGATGAGAAGCTCCACGGTGCCATTCCGACGACAGCGGTGTGCGAGCACGGACTCGACCTCGTACTCGGGTTCATTCTGGACGAGGACGGGCGGTGGTGGTGGCGGTTGGCGTCCGACGAAAAGCGTGTTCGGGTCCCGATAGGGCTTCAGAAGTTGGACGTGGAAGGCGTTGTGAATCTTCCAGGTAGCTGGTAGGCGTAAGCGGAAGGTAACAGGAGTGACCTGTGCTTCAACGAGAAAAGGCCCGCAGAAACGAGGTCGAAGTTTAGATGGGAGATGGCTGATGTCCAGGTTGCGGGTGTCAAGAAGCACCTGGTCTCCCACCGTGATGGTGTGATCTTTGCGATGGCGATCGGCTTGGCGCTTCTGTTGCTGTTGAATGTCGAGTAGGCGCTTGTGGGTCCGATCCCAAAGCTGATGCATGGTTGCGATGAAATCATGTGCTGGTTGGACTATAGCTGATGCTGTCGGTTTTTGTGGTGTGAGTGGGTGGCGTCCGTAGCAGAGGAAGAACGGCGTCTGTCCAGTAGCGGCATGTGTAGCATTGTTGTAAGCAAACTCTAGTACGGGCAGGTGCAAGTCCCATTTGGAGATCTGGTCCTTGCAGGCTGCTCGGAGGAGTTGCTCAACAATTTGGTTGAGGCGCTCGGTCTGTCCGTCTGTCTGCGGATGGTAAGCAGATGACATGGCGAGTTTGGTCCCGAGGAGAGACATAAGTTCCTTCCAGAACTTGCTGGTGAACTTAGGGTCTCGGTCGGAGATGAGTGTGGTTGGAATGCCATGTTGTGAGATGATGTATCGAACGAAGAGTTGTGCTGTCTCTTCGGTACGTGCTGTCGTGTGTGTCGGGATGAAGTGTCCCATTTTGGAGAACTTGTCAATGACGACAAGGATGGCGTCATGACCGCTGGAGGTAGGTGGTAACCCGGTGATGAAGTCCAAGCTAACCACTTGCCATGGTTGTTCTGGGACAGGAAGAGGCTGCAGCAGTCCCGCCTTTTTCTGCTTGCTGCTCTTCATCCGCTGACATGTATCACACGAGGTGACGAATTTCTGGACATCTTCTGCTAAGTGGGGCCAGTAGTAGTGCTTTGCGATACTAGTCAGCGTCTTGTTGCTACCGAAGTGTCGGGCGTAGAGGATGTCGTGGTATTCTTCGAGTAGTAACTGGCGCAAAGGAGGGTAATTGGGTACCCAGATTTTCGTTGATCCTTTCCGGTACGCGATGTCACTGTCCCACTGTAGCAGATGTCGCTTTTCTGCCAAGGGAATTTAGGGGTTGGTGGCGTACCCATGTGTGAAGAGTCCCTTGAGTAGTGGATTCATCCCTTCGACCTGAATAGCGGCAACGTGTGCAGGCCGGCTGAGAGCGTCTGCTTTGTTCTTATGACCGGGCTTGTACACGATGTCGTAGTGGAAGTGTGTCTCGAGGAAGTCGATCCACCGGAC